CTTAAGTAATGACAAACCATTTTATCAATCAGCGATCTGGCTGTATGGAAGGCGTTAAAGCCTACTTTATGAATATTTAATGAAGATGCTAGACCAATATCGTCGTCGATCTTGTAAGGGCGCTCGTTATGCATTGCTTTTGAAAAACTGCAGCTTCTGCCAGGCTCTATGCCCTGGTAACAGAAACAATAAAGTTTTTTTTTTAAACAAAGCCGATTGTTACATTTATCTAGAGAAAATACTTTGTAACATCTACATATAAACAGTTTACGAAAAGATAAAATAATCTATTAACAAATACTAAGAGGTTATCAGTCTTGCGGTTTTTAATTTTTATTTTTCAATAAGTGTGGTTATCTGCACGCGATTACAAGTTTGTGTTTACGCACACGACGCGACATCTTCGCTTCATCATGTACGGGTTCAAGCCCCGTCAGTGGAAATCGACGTATTTCTACCTACATGCGTATGACGACGTTCGACAATCATAAAGTTAATAAGATAGAGAGATAAGAATAATAATCATAGCATTAAAATCATGTGGTCTAGGTGTGGAGTAGGGTAAAGGCACCAATGATTATGGAAGAATTTTCATGCAATTCCTTTCTATTGAAGAGTTCTACCAGTTACCTAACCTCAGCTTATCCAAAAAAGGTGATAAAATAAGATAAAATACTTTCACTTTTTATTGAAAAATATAATAAGCAATGTATGCAACCTGAAAGTTGAGGATTGTCTTCGATCCGTCCAAGATCCCATCATCAAATGTTGACATAATTCAGCATAGTAAAATAAATGTAAAATAAATAAACACAAATACATTCAATCTGAGAACTTTAATTTTTGCAGTCGTAATCGTCTAAAAAGTGCCATTCTATAGAATTCTTTGAATGCTTTTATTTTGAATCTATACAAAAATTTCGCTTATCGACTGAGCTGAACGCGAGTAGCCTTTTTAGTTTATTAGGAGGACGGTTAAGAATATTTATCTCTTATTTTTTTAAGTTAGAAAAAATGTCTATCATTGGGTTCTTGTCGAACACTGGTGCCGTTACAGAGCCTAACTCACTGTTCCCGAATCTCTTCTCTTGGGACTCGGATCTTTTTTTCTTGGTCTGAGTCCCGAATATACTATCCTATTAATTATATATATGCAAAAAATATAAAAATACATTACATAAATCAGAATATTTGGATTGGCATGTTTGACGAACGCGGCAATGCCTGCTATTAGCCCTCCACCGCCGACGGGAACTAGGATTGCTTCAGTATCGGGAAGCTGGTCTAATATCTCGACGCCAATAGATCCTGCTGCTGCTATTACGTTGGGATGGTCGTACCTTAAAGATAATTGTAATTTTTAAAGGCTTATGTTGAATTACGCAAAAATAATATGGCACTCTCACGTCAAAAGAGTGCTCTTGACTATTGAAAAGTGAAGACCGGCCCATTCGTGCCATGCTTCGGAACGAATGATACCACGGCCACATAGAAAACCGGCGTGAAACCACAGCTATCCGTTGCCCAATCCTCCCCCACCCTCAATCCTCAAATTACTTATTAGCCACAAGAGGTCGGCAACGCACTTGTAGGAACTCCTTTGGTATCACGAGTGTCGGTCACGAGTATGGGCGGTGCTGATAGCTTACCACCAGGTAATCCGTCTGCTCGTTTGCCGAACTAAGGAATAAAAATACGTATTAAAAAACTTAGATACAAAATATGTACATATGTCTAGGACGACAGGTGGACTTAATGCCCTGCATTTCTTTACCCGTTGATGTAGACACCGTGGCGTTCTTCATCGTGCATCAGTTTGAAAGCGTGTTCTCTTGCTTCGTCAATGTTCTTTCCATGGAGTATGATGGTGGCGCCATATTCTTCACAGTGACTGATGATAGATAACTGTGTATGTTCGGGGAGCACCACCGTCACATGCACTTCAAGTAGCTGCCCCTGATAGGCTAAAGCCTGTTTTTGGAAAAGTTGTTCTTAGTCTGTTTTTTTAGACGAATCATCATAATTTTTATACATAATAGAGTTAGTGATGAGTCTGTTCTTGAAACTCTCACATCTACCTACGTTATTTACAACACACAAACCTAGAGTTGGACCTCAGACTAAATCAGTGATGGAATACTTTGCAGAGCATTGCATGCTTTATGTTATCAAACTATTCATTATCCTAATCTTATTATAATAATCCTGGATCACCCCAGGCGCAAGGAGCAAACATGATTTTGTGTGAACTCTTACCATAGCCCAATTTCCTACGGATGCTGTGTAGACACCTTCTTTACGTTCCTCTGGCGTCAACATAAGCAAAGCGTACAACGCTGACCGTTCGTGGAAACTGTTCAGAGAGAATAAACAATCAATGCTTAAAGTCCTTCGTGTAATAAGAATGTACACATGATATTGATTGACATTTACCTTCCAGTTTTGCTACCAGTTTCTACTTTGAAGTATAAATCCATTCCAAACTTATCGCAGCATTTGGATTTCTGAAATTAGCATGTGTTTCGCGTAGTGCTATTTCTACCTACTTATACTAATATTATAAAACAAAAGAGTTTATTTGTTTGTTTGTTTGAATTAGCGCTCAGGAACTATACACTGGTTCGAATTGTAAAAATCAACTGCAGGCAAGTAGCTTTTTAGCGGAAGGTGTTGGAGCTATCAGCTTGGGGACTCTCATGTGCATGCCTGACATACTAACAGAGTTACGAGGGAAAAAGTGAGCTTTATTGTCAACATTACGTACTCAAAAGGTTTCTGAAAAATGTCTCGCTCGCGAAACTAGAACAAGGTCGGGTCTTTAATTTACATAAGGTTACCAACATGATTCGTAAATCACTGTTATTGGCACCTCATCTTCTAATGGATCACACGAAAAGGTGCTAGTTATTAAAGATTTCTATATATAATAAGTTTGAAAATGAAAATATATAATTACCAAAAGTGGAGAGGCATCAATGTTACTTTTTATCATTTTATCTGCTTGAACAACGTGACTGAAAAGTACAGCTTTCGGGTTGTGTGGATCGCAATAAGGGTCAAAATCAATACTTGGCGGATACTGTAAATATATGTATAGGTATTTTATATTAAGTTTACAAGACAGTTCGGGTAACTACGTAGGTAATTGTAGGATTAAATAAATTGAACCTTTTGACTTAATGCAATGTAATAAAGAAGTGTTTACTGTAAATTATCTATTCTATTATATTTTGATCAACATCTTAGGTTGTTGTACTAGACACAAATAAAATTAAGACCAGCAAAACACGATAATCTCACAATTGAAAGTTAAAAAAGAAACAAAATTTAGTAAAATAAACAAAGATGTGCCGGGGCAGCAGTATTATTAGTTCAATTTCCAACTGTCAAGCGCGGGGATTGTGGTATTGCGGTAAACCTTTAAGAAAGCTATTGAAATACGCGGTTACTTACTGGACACCAAAAATCTTTCTTGGCGAAATCTCGTTTGCCGAGCACCGCGGGAGACAGGCCTAGCGTTTCCCTCACATCTATAGATGGCGTAGCTAGCGGGGGCGGAATGCGTTTTTTCGGCATAGTAGCGGCTATATAGGGTTGATAGGTTCATGCATTAATTAATGAATTTATTTATTAACTCTTTTTCATTAAATTTATATTGTTTACATGTTCTGTTTGCAACTTGACGGTTGATGTGGTTGACATCCAGTTATAGTGTATAATCTATGGTTGACATCGGGGTGTTGACATTAAAACACGACTGCCCAACGATTCACGATTAATCGTTATTCATTGTTCATTGCACGAAAGACACCATGCTTTAAAAACTGCATTTTATATTATTTTTAACTTTACTAATTTTATTGTATTGCTTTTACTGTCTTTACGTTTATTTTTTAAGTTTTTGTATAAATTGTTCATCCCACCCTGAACAAAATGATGAATTTCCTTAAGGACCGGTCACACTATTAGAGTACCGGTTAATTTGGTGTTGATTTATTTTAAACGGAACAGCGTAATTGTTACGTGACGGTACGTGTTGATTTTTTTTTCATCTATTGCAATTAAGTTTGACTAGTGGAATGTAGGTACTTGTATCAGCTTGGACTTGTCATGCTTAGAGGCCCCATTAGCGATGGCACGGGCGGTTGGATACCTCGATTTCCTACAATATGGGTTGATAAACAGTTTTGTTTTGCTTTTAACGTTGTTTGTAATTCAATTAATATTAATGACTTTGACTTATTTAATTTATCTAATAATTCAAAATGTTTGCCCACAAACCCAGCATCTTCTTGGCAGGTCAGTTCATCTTAAAAATGTATAGAGTGGCGTGTGGCGGATGAACAAGAATGCTCGACACCCTACGAGTAGAATCAGGGCACTAGTTATTTTCACCTGCTACCGTCGAAATTGTAATCCGAGGAGAGATTATGGTCTTGATTCATGACTCGGAACTGGATCTGGACTGGTCTTTGCTTAACCACACGGGCTACAAGGAAGATAACCTCTATAAAAATCATCTAATACTAACACCCCGTTTCTGAAAGGCTTGTCAACGCTAAAATTAATTAATCTATTGTTAAATCTCTTGTCCAGTCATCTCATCTCGATCTCCGGCCACCGTAAGCACGGGCCTGCGGTCGGCGAGTAGGGGCAGCTCGCCGCCCGACCAGAACCAGACCCGAGCGTACGGCGCGTAGCGTTCCGCGCGCGCCTCAAAGAGCCAATAGAATAGCCCGGGGTTGCGGGGTAAGCGCAATGAGGCGCATGAGAAGGAACAGGGGGTTTTTTAGTCAGTAAGAGTCTGACACTCCCTCTCGCCCGGCCCTGGGCCGGAGAAGTCATATGATTATTTTCCCCTCACAAAAAAACCTACCATAATGAAATAGACCAAAACACAAAAATCCCCTTAATTTACTATTTATTGACAAATTGTAACATTTGGATCAACGGTAGTTGTCTAGTTTGTGTAATGTTATATTAATATAGGTTACAGAATTCTACTTTTGCATGCACACGGGGTTTGGCGCGAGACAAGGGCCGCGTTTGACGGAAACTGTTCTCTCTGGATTCTCTGTTGACTCTGCGAAAAGGTATTCCTTGAAATTTTTCTTGATCAGGTCCACCAACTCTTTGGTATGATCCCATCCCCTTGTTTCGACAATTACTTTCCACTGAAATAAAGCGCTCTAATTAAAGTAAATTAACTTAATTTTCAATGAACATTTATTTTCCATAACTTAACAAGTTTTATTTTTTATGAGACAGGTTGGCAAACAAGCATACGGATTAACTGAGCTGATGGTAAGCATTCGGCGCCGCCATGGACACCCGCATCATCAAAGGAGTAACTAGTGTGTTTTCGGCCTTTTAGGGACTTCGGATATTTCGTATTGGGATGGGATTGGGAGAGATTGAGCCACTCCCTCATTCACATGGCGGAACACGCCGGTTTTTTTGTGAGGCCGTGTTATCACTTCCACCCATTCGTGCTGAAGCTTGCCTCTAATGTTAAATTATGTAAGAAAATAAACGGTGATTAACATAACTTGTTGTATGATTAACGCTCAGCGTAACCAGTTATGTTTTGCGTTCGATGCATTCAAATGTAACAGTGAAAAGCTACTTAGTGTGTGAAGGATAATATTGAACAAGTGGTTTCGATCGGGACGTTATACATGAGATATTGCTTGCCTGTATTTTTGTAACGTCTCCTTTGACACACGCACGTTCTGGGACACAGTCTCGTACGCTGGCGCCGATGCCAGCGAGCATGGTGCACAGGTCGGCAATCCCGGTGGGCCTGTCGGACACCGACACTTTAAACTTCAGCAGCCGCCCCTCTGCCGCCATGCCACGCTCCAAAGCACGTCCCAATGTCGTCGTGTCCATATTACCACCAGTACAAATGGTTACCACTCTGAAAAAAAACATGTGTTTTATTGTAGGTCTACTATATTACGTCAAAAGAACAGATAATTTTAAAATTTTAATGTTATGGTCACAGTAGCTTCGATATAATTATCAAAGAAGCTCACTTCTTGCCCCTTAAGTTAGGGAAAAGACCGGCCATTAGAGCTGCCACGCCTACTGCACCGCCACCTTCCACCGCAAACTTCTCTTCCTCTACAATGTGCATTATTGCACGCGCCACCCAATCCTCTTTGACGACCACCTGAAATAGCAATATCTTTTTATTACCCGAAGAGTAGTGGTCTGAAATATGTTTTAAATTCATTTTACTCAGAGTGTAATCAATGAAAAAATCTTCTCACATTATTTATTATCAATAAAAACATTTTTGTTATGCAACAAATATGTAAGCTTCCTTAGAGTGGAATAATATTCTTGATAATTTGAAACGTGACATAGGTAAATACCGTCATAATAATACCTTTACTTCTACAAGCCCCTGTTACGTAATCTTAACTTCTATAATAACTATCGTGAGACATACTAAATTAACTAAAATTCGCGGGTTACTCACGTGTAAATGTTGAGAAAAGCTCTACTTGGCTGCGCGACGTCGCCGCGTCCGCGCACGCTGCTCATGAGGAAGAACCCCTCTGTGGTTCGAAACTAGTAGAGCTTTTCTCAACATTTACACGTGAGTAACCCGCGAATTTTAGTTAATCTTAATCTTAACTTCGTTAATTTTTTATCCACTTTGTAAACTTAAAGAAAGTTCCCAGTTATTCGTTAAAAGTTAAAATGATTTATGAAATGCTACGCTTATGTTTTATGGAGTTATCGTATCTTTAATATTGCCTGTTTCGACAAGAGGAATAATTGATCAAATATTTTAATTTGTTTTTAATGGTTCGATAAAAAAAGCCAAAATTTAAAATATAAATGAATAGCAAAATGTGTTGGTAAGCGCATAACTCACCAACGCCTGGACCTATTTTGCCAGATCTATGTTCGTTGTGTTTCTTTAAGAGAAGGTTCTTAAAAAAAAGTTAGTTAGGTCACCCGTGCGGAGCAAGGGCAGGCTGCTAGTTTATTGAAAGTATGCAGATTTATTTCATAGGTTACATACCTGCTTAGAGAGGGTCTTTATTAAAAATTTTCATTTATGCTCAGAATTTACCATTTTATCAACCATCCCTTTCAGACTGAAGAAAGTGTTAACTCCAACTTTATTCACAGCCAGTGCGTCAGCAATAGTGGAATCTATTGGTACGAAGACTCGTTCGTTTTTCTTCAGAGCTTCCATCATGCTGCAAGATTTGTCTGTTTCCACACCCTGAATCATAAAAACAAAAAAATAGAGTGAAAATTCACGACATACACAGGCTTTTCCGGGAAGCTTAACAATATGGCAAAAACAAAGTACATATTCCAAGCAACGACAAAGTCGTTTGTTTTTGTATTATTATACGGGGTTTAGAAAGTGACCACTATATCTCTTTTAGATTTGATCTACATATTACCGATACCATCGACGAATTTCAATTCAAAATCTTCAGATTGAGATCTAAATTTGACTTCAGTCGAATGGAATTTTTGCCAAAACTTAGATCAATTCAGGGATATTAGATTTAAAGATTTCAGCCAATAGTGAGACTCACATAAACCTCAGTATCAGGTTTCAGATGTTTGACAGCAATGGCGACTCCTGTGAGAAGGGATCCACCTCCGCATGGGACCAGCACTGCATCCACGTCAGGAAGCTGGTCTATGATCTCAATGCCAATGGTGCCATCGCCTTCTATTATGTGTGGGTGGTCAAAACTAAAAAGATGTATGAAATACACACAAAAACTTGTTAATAAAGTAAAAATAAAACAACTACGTTCAATCGACCAATTGGTTAATTTGCCCAAATATTCATATAGTTTATTGGAAATAAGACGACAAAGTAGACGGGTTTTTTGATTGTAATTGATCGGCCTCGCCAAATTGGGAGTCGCAAGTACGCTGCCGGCGTTTTGGGATTAGGTATTTGAGGATTGTTGGGGTTAAGCGAGCTAAAGTGTGAGTCTCCGATAACCTCGGCGAAAAATAAGGCAAACGTTGTCTCGTGAGGCCAGTACCTATCACATCGGTTGAGCCGGCCCATTGAAAACATGAGTCTTACCAAACAGGTTACAATTCGCGTAATTTTTCGAAATTTTCTGTAATTTATTGTGTATAGGAAGGCGTATTTGTAGCAGAAAAATATTTTATGCATTTTGCAATTAGATGTGCGTGAACATGAGTAATACCAATTTAATTGAAAAAATTTGAAGGCCTCATATCATCTCAAAACAAACAGAATTTGTCGGAGAAAATCGTTGGAACTGGCAGTTGCAGTTACAAACTTATATTCCTACTTTTCAGCATTGCACTGTATCTGGCATTATAACATATAACATATATATAATTTATACACACATATTTATACAGTACTAGCTGACCCGGAAAACTCAGTAACAATTCTGACCTTTCAACATTCAGAACTTTCAGACTTCAACGAGCATTTTAAGACAAAAATTACTCAAATCGATCAAGCCGTTCTCGAATTTTAGCGAGACTAACGAACAGCAATTCATTTTTATTAGATTAATGTTTATACAGTATAAACATTATCGACAGCGCGGGGGTGTCTACTGTTGAAATATGGGCCTTCTATACAAAAATTCAAGGTCTTCAGGATTATCAGTCCTATAATATGATTAAATCTATCATACTACGATACCAACGGGCAATAGAAAAATAAATTTAATGATAATTTAAAAGTACCAGTTAATGTACGTCAGTTTTCTCTCCCTGGCTAACATCATGGCATGTCGTTTCGAGTCTGCCATATCTTTGCCATGAAGTATTATCTTGGCACCGAGCCGCTCGGCGAGGGTTCTCTTGAAGATGGAAGCTTTGAACGGCATGACCACGCTGCATGGTATACCTAGCTTGGAACAGTTTAAAGCCATGGCAATGCCGCTGTTGCCGGAGCTGGATGTGATGACGCCAAGTTTCTTCTGTTCATCACTCAGCAATACCAGGGCGTTGTAAATTCCACGCTCCTTGAAACTGTCATCACACAAAAATATAGGATTAATTAATATTAATCCATTACACAAAAATATAGGATTAATTAATATTAATCCTATATTTTTGTGTGTAGATTATAGTAAAAATAAAAGAGATCCATTGATAAGACTTCTAGCTTTTTTAATAACATATGGGTAGTATGTTTGTCAGTGATTGTCTCTTTTGATTTATTACATTGATGATTGCAGGTACATAGAGTATCTATCACTTCTAAATAATATTGTTATTGTTAAAGATTCTGTTTATTCGTTTGCTCCGTTTTTTCGCCATTATTGTTTTACGAACTTTTATTTTATGGCAAATGTAAAACCTACTCTTAGGTTTAGGTAATCATAGTTCAATGTGCAACATAAGTATAAAAATAATTGAAATTAAAAATTATCAAAAACGCGGATTTTAGATATAATTATGTAGAAGGAGGAGGAATGGGGTGGTTTTTAGTCAGTAAGAGTCGTTTGTTCGGTAAGACTTATACCAAATATTTGATTGTGGGTTGATTGAGGACGTTTACTCTTTCGAGTGCAAAAAGATTTTTTCAAATCGGAATTTCAACCATGGAGATATGGCATGCCATGTATAAACAAAAAATAGGGGCGAATTATAATACCTAATCTGTTTCTTATTTTATTGAAGTCGGTTAATAATAAAATAGTCAATACCATCCTGAGTATTGCAGGAACTCTTGCTTCATGTATAATTCTACTCCTAGCTTTTTCGACATGTGAGCACGCTGCAAAACAAAGTAAATGTCATTCAAGTTATCTCGAACATATACAGAAGCTGTTCAAAATGTTTAAACTGCAGCAATAACATGAGGTCTTTTAATTGACTTTTTTTGCAAGAAACCTTGCTCGACTACTTGTAATCTAAACAAAAAAGATTTTTCTATGTTAGTTTCTCGAATATACGTATTATAGGTTAATATATCACACACGGGACAATAATATCAATATATCTTAACAAGGACCAGCAACTAAGCGGCTGGGCGCCCCTTGTGACTTACCGGGCATTGTGTTCGTATTACTTGGCCCACCATCCGTTGATATGCAGCTAAGATATCTTCATATTTTATCTTACGGGGATTATCCGGATCACAATTTGGGTCGTACTCGAGGTCCTATAAAAGCAAGAATAGGTATAATATGGTATGATTTATTAAGTAGAGATGCGGGCTAAGACTTTGGCCAGCTAGTTGACGTTAATTTTTATAGAGAATACTTGTTTGACGTTCATTTTTCTAGTTTTATTGACAGTACATACCTATATGATAAATATGTATGTTCCTATTAAATAAACATGAGCTTAAAACTTTATTTGAGAGGATTGTAAAGATTCTGCTAATATTCATTTGTTTGTACACAAGCTGGGTGCAGGTGGAGGAGGCGTTTGCACTTTTATTTATTTATTTATTAAGGTAATTACACACTTTGAGCTGGATCATACCGCAGTTCTGACGATACTGGATCCAGACGTAAGGTGTCATGGTCCTTTTTTATATTGGGGTAGATGAGGTTGTGGCGAGGGATCTTTGATGCCATTCTCAAAAAACTCTAAGCATCATTATGTTCAGATTCCTAATAAAGCGTCCTCAATTTCTGGCTGACTCTGATTGAGTTTTTCGGGAGGAGAACTCATCCATTCTTGTCATCTTGAACTTCTAAAAAAGCATTTTGTTGAACTTTGCGCAGTTCAACCAGTTAGTGAGTCTGCGTTTCTACTGTCTCAAGAAATCGGGTCTGCTGTTCTTACAGATGCTGAAACTCTTGACTTGTGTTTCCATTGATGAATCCTAAAGGGCATCGACTAAGTTGAGTTTCCTTTAATTTTTTGGTATTTTCCAGGCTTGTTCGGTGTATTTTTGCAGGTTTCATCACTGCGTTGAGTTATAGACACTTCACTTTTAAAGGATTACGAATCCAACTAGGTCAAATTGTTATATTTTTAAGCTGTAACTTGAGTACATGATCTGCTTAACAAATTAGTAATCCTACAAACATCAAAAAAGAGAAGATACTCAAGACAAGACTCGACAAGACAAGACCATTTATAACCTTTTTGAAAAATGACCTACTACTGTTGACACCGTCTCTACTATTTGTTCACAAACACTACTGTTGATCGGTCACAAGTTCAACTTTCTGCGTTAAATAACAGAAAGTATAATACGTCTAGAGAAAAAGGAAGGAATTCATTTTGATCTTCAAGGTATGAATGTATATCATATATGTATTTTTAACGAATGATCATTACTTCTAGGATGGGATAGCATAGAATCTCTAGATGGCTACGCTTTGGTTATGGTTTCTTGGAAGAAACTGGAAGCTTTGTTTGTGGATTTATGGATAAAGTTATTTATCTTTACGAAATATATCGGAGTGGGTATATTATGAAGGATACGAAATATATACCGTTATGAAAGATTAGAAAGTTGAAATCATCATGTCAGGCACGTCAGAGATCCGAGAGGGTTTCGAACATACGGCGTTTTGTCCAATTGTTTTTTTTAAACCGTGGTACGGTTGTACCACTTTGGATATATATGGTAACGAAATATCCAGGATACATATAAAGAATTTTACGAATTTAGGGCTCTACTGATCGGGAGTAGACGTTTATAAGTTAGCGGGTGATTCCATCTGCTGATAGACGAAGTTTGCTTTTGCATCTTAGTTTTACACTGAATGACCTTAGAATAACTCTTACGGATGGCGACACATGGGCTAGTTAGGATTCTCATGCTTCCTATTAAAATTTAGTCTGTTTTTGAGATACATGGTGGCACTTTGATCAAGCCGGCCCTTTCCTGCCAAGGCCAAAGTATGGCTTTTGCACATAAAAAACAATTCAATATTTACTTACGATTTCGGGCTCCATTGCTTTTTTATTACGTTTTTTTATTGGATACGGTTTCACATTAGTATTTTTTCATATTGATATTTAAAATCAGGGGAATTTACTACAAAAATAATGATACATTGAATGTCAACGTCAACGTTTTCGTTTCTTTTTTACCAATTATTGGCGTGAGACATCAAAATACAATAGCAAGAAATAAGGTTCTTCGGCTTCCTATATAGATGCCCATCTCATGGTACATTTTATATAAGCTTACTTGCTTTTGCCCGCGACTCTTTTCGCGTGTAATTGTGACTTCCTGCAGATTTTTGGTATAAAAACTATCTACTATCTATATAATCGGTTTAGAAGAAAAGACAGACAAACAGAGTTACTTTTGCATTTATAATATTAGTTTGGATTTGAGAAAATTAATGTAAAAACAAAAAATATATTTAAATTTACTTTGTGGGCCGATACTACTTTCGGGCAGTTTGCTGTAGTGCAGTCGCTTTAGCCGGGGGCAGGCGAGTATACGTGTCACGCTTGGAAATTGGGTAGGCAGATCTGTGGTATAGGACGCTACTTGTGTTGGTATTCTTGCAACGCTCTATTTTCCACGCATATCATGTTGATCCAGAGCTTAGGTGGCAATTGGCATTGTAGCTGCCGAGAATTTCAAGCGGTTATAGTGTATTAACCGGTTGGAAATTATGGCGTGGCGTCTGAGTGCCCATCTTTACGAATATATGGTAAAGGGGATGGTTGATACTTCAGCTGCCCAAAAGGCTCTGTCGTGTAGTCGAGGTTTACGCGACAGTCTGTAAATTTTTCCGGTCACCGAGGCCTGTGAAACTCTGGTAAGAGACGTTGCGCGGTGTTTCACAGGGATCGTTGCTGGCACCGATCCAGTGAAACTGAAAAGAATTTGATTGCGTTGATCATGAGACATTTTGCTGAAATAAGATCATTTCGGAATTGAACATGCACTCAATCTGTCCAAATCATATTTTCAACCTATATTTAGGGGACAAGCAACTCAAGGTTCATGTAAACGGTACTCAACTTCAAAGGGCACTGAGTAAATAGGCATTCCGCAGGGTTCGATGTTAGGTCTATTTCTCTATTTTGATTTTATTAATGACTAGCGGCTTGCCCCCGCTTCGCACGGGTCCAATTATTTCCCTAACAATGAAAGGGTCACTTTTTCCCTCTCGACTTTCTAATATTTTCTATGATAAAAACCTTCTAAGGAACTTAGCCGTGATTTCATTAGCGGAGTGAAAGCAAGGACAGTGTCAACGAGTGTCAGTTTCAGCCGGGTACTGGGCTTACTGTTATTACAGTGTTGTTATTGTATTGGGTGAGAAAAATGTATGTACTATGTCATTTTATTTATTTAGCGACCTGATATGGCCTTCTGCGCGGGCAATGCTGATGTTACGTACATTACAGCATATTTGTTATATTTTCGAAAATATTCATTAAAATTATATGTATGTTGTAAAGAGCCATATTTTTATTAAGCCAACTATCTATTTGTTACGTGTTTTTCCGCAAAAAGTGAATGACAAAAGATTGTCTTACGAAGTATTTTTTTGTAATCGAGGCTTCTAAAAAGTTGATTGTATCTAATAAATAATTAAATGATGATACAGGGTAGATATTTTTTAACATTTTAGCATTGCTCCTGTGATAATGCAACGCCCTTGTTGCCTAATTCATTTTCTTCCTGATCAACATATAACATGGTCGACCATTACCTTAGGTCCTTAGGCTAACACTATGAATATATAAACGTGAATGAATTATGAATAGCTAACACGATAGTTGAAAAGGCAGCAACGTACGTGCCAACAAGTTTTGTCGTATTGATCTCAACTTTAAAGCTTATTTCCGGCGGCCCCTCGTCAACTTATGATTGCATTGTCCGTTGGATATCTTTAGACGTTCGTATAAGTACGAATAGATACATTTAAGGCAAATTACGAGCACAAATTATAATGTTCTCCATGTCCTATATGAATATTGGACCTATGGATATTTGAATCGTTGCTTTTGGTGTCGAGGCATTTCCAAAAGGCGTGTTTTTAGATTTTTTTAACTAATAATTGTCTATTAACATTGTCCTTAGTAATGTCTTCCTTATATACCTAACAATAACGCCTGTAACAGTACAACGTAGTAAATATAATATGAAAGTAATGACACATGTGCAAATGTAACAAAATGTAAATATATTTTTTTGTTTTTAGTTTATTAGCGTTTAACCTTTCTCCTTAGAATCAGACTAGCATATTTTTAAATAAAACACGAGAAGAAGTTCACAAAAAGTATTTTAAAATGTGACATGATAGGGAATAGCACAACAGTGGGAGTGGGTCTATTTCTGCATGCAAATAGGGTTGGGTGCGAGGCAGGGGCCGCGCTTGACGCCAGCTGTCTTTTCAGCCTTATCGTTCATTTCTTGGAAGTAATATTCTTTGTAGTGCTTCTTGATTAGGTCCATCAACTGCCTGGAATGGTCGTACCCTCTGGTTTCAACGATCACTTTCATCTGGAAATAAATAAGTTTTATGATATATTTATATTACCTTTTGGCAAATGAGCAGACGGATTACCCGATGGTAAAGGTAAAGGTTTCGGAGATTTAAGGTTTTGGAGAGAAAGAATGGGGAGAGGAAGGATTGGACCTTCGGCAGCATTACTCGCATGAAGAAAAAACGCTGTGGTTGTTTCACGTCGGTTTTCTGTAAGGCCATTGTATCATTACGGTCGAGCCAACCCATTCATGCCCAAGCTTGGCTCTCCCACACTTTGGGTTGGGTATAAAATCATATATTTAGACCGGCCCCGCAATCGTAACTCCATTGTTGTGCCTATATACCTGGGCGACGTCGTTTGGTTACCATCAGGTAATCTCGTTCTCGGGCTCGTTTGACGATCTATCTCATAAAAACATTATCAAATAAGTCTTACTTGTACACTAAATACGTCTCCTTTGACCCAAGCTCTTTCAGGCACACAGTCCCGCATGCTGGCTCCCATGCTAGCGAGCATGCTGCACAAGTCCGCGAGCCCGCCGGGTCGGTCCGACACAGTCACCTTAAACTTCATCAGCCGACCGTCCGCTGCCATACCTCGTTCTAGAGCACGGGTCAACGTCGTCGAATCTATGTTACCTCCAGAGCATATTGCCACCACTCTGCAATGTTTTAATTAAATCAGATATTAAAAAATATTTATAACTATGTGTCACATATTATTTTGGTTATTTATAAATGAAAAAAAATTCATATATCGGTGGTGCAAATGGACACTCTTAACATCTAGCGAATTACAGGAGCGTTTCTAGTTTTATAGGGGTTTTTAGAGATGTGATGATTAGGAATTGGGGTTTGGGGGAGGATAGGGAAGGAACTGAACACCCGATGATCGCGCTCATACGATAAAACAACGCAAGCATTGTTTCAATCAGGTTTTTCTTAGACTTTATATTTGCCTAGTCTAGTATATTTGCAATTATAAAGGTAGAATGTGCGAATAATACGAATTCGCCAAAGTAGCTTATCTCTGGACCTACGATCATCGCAATTATACATACCTATGTGTAATTTATTGTATAACAGCGAGGGAAAGAATTTTGCACAAAATAAAATTTATATTACCAAACACAGGTACGTATAAATATAATAGTGAAAAATATTTTTGTCAATTAGATTACCTTTTGCCTTTTAGGTTTGGGAACAGGCCAGCCATAATGGAGGCTACACAGACAGCACCGGCACCTTCTACTACAACCTTCTCTTCCTCAATCACAGTCATTATGGCGCGAGCCACCCAATCTTCTCTAACCACGACCTAATAAACAAACTTTGTTTAGTGGATACACCTCACCTAATAGGTACTAAGTATAGGAAAAATGTGTAGCTTTATCTTCGCTATGAAACATAAGATTATGCAACACAAGGTGTTCAGTAAATAAATGCATACACAGCAGGGATGCAATAAAGAACACACTAGGTATACACAAACAAATCACGGTCTTAAGGAGCATCTTCACGAGATGTCTACTTGTGGAAGCTCGGTAACAATAAAATGCTGCAAAATCATTTACCTCATAGCAGAGTTGAAGCTATATAGAAAACGTTAGATTGGATTCCGCAAAGTAACGCCAAATTCTATTGTAAATGTACCTCAGTTGAAAGACATGCAACTTGGTTTAACAAATATTCGCTACAGGATTTTCTATTTTACTGCCGTAAATTGAATACCATTTTATCGAGAACTCCTTTGAGGTTGTAGAAGGTGTTAACACCGACTTTATTCACAGCCAATCCATCAGCAATTGTCGGTTCTAAGGTGAGAAATATTCGTTCGTTCTTTCTGAGCGCTTCTACCATACTATACGTCTTATCTGTTACAACGCCCTGAAACAAATCAATAGAACTTTGCATGAACAAAGCCGATAAATTAACCATTTTGAACGAGGGACATATTAAAGGAGCCGATTTTAGTGCTCGATTACAACAACTTTACCCACGGGACCAATATCCAAATACCGAAAATAAAAGTATTTCACCAAACAAATCGCAATACCTAATTCATCATTTTGCATCGGAATTATCTTTTGGAGAAAATTTTTTGTTTAAGCACCAGAATCGGGTCCTTGAATATGTCCTTCGTTCAAAATACTACCCTGTACAAAATGCATACTTTAAAGATTAACAAAATACTTTTAAGAAAAAGCGGTGATTTATAAATATTACATATAGAAACCAACTTACATAAACTTCAGTGTCAGGTTTGAGATGTTTAACAGCTAAGGCGACGCCAGCTAACAGACTGCCTCCACCACAAGGGCATAGAACGGCATCCACATTAGGCACTTGCTCTATTATCTCTGCACCAACCGTGCCCTGGCCTTCTATCACATTCGGGTGATCGAAACTGGAAATTACAAAGGTTAACGTGATACCACGGCCTTTCAGAACACCAGCGAAAACACTTGACACACTTGATTCGCTGTGTGAGTGAGGTTATATAAAAATAATAAGACTTTTATTCTGGGCTACAAGATTTCAGTGAGGTTATCGGAAACAAAATACGGAAAGGATTGGGCCCCGCACTGTACCTCTTGTTGGGTATACTGGCGGCGTCAGTTACTATCAGGTAATCCGTTCGTTCGTTTGCAGACATATCCATAAAAAGACACTTACCCATTAATGTACATCATTTTTTTCTCCTTCGCCATGGTCATTGCGTAACGTTTGGCTTCAGCCATATTCTCACCCTGCAAAACGATCTTTCCGCCTAGTCGTTCTGCTTTATTGATTTTAGTGATTGGAGCATGCACTGGCATCACTACGGTGTTTGGTATACCCATTTGAGTGGAGTGATAGGCCAGAGCGCACGCATGGTTTCCCGTACTGGCGGCAACTACACCATATTTTTTCTGTTCTTCACTTAGCAATAGTAAAGTGTTGCATACTCCGCGTTCTTTGAAACTGTTAAAAGTATTAAAAAAGCTAATTATTTTTGTGCTGTAAAAATTATGTAGGTACATCATTATTCGCTGACGAATTAATAGCTGACGTCTGTTTATGTAATTTTACACACGCACCTGTAACACTTAGATACTAATTATTTAAATTAATTGTAATATTTCATAAGTTTAGTTTGATAAGCAATAATATTGTAGTAGAAGTATATCAGCACTTTTTTACCTGAAACACAGGTTTGCACCTAGTTCAGGTTGATGTTAAACATTATACTTTGCCTTAGACTTAAGATATTATACATTTTGTAATCTACCTTTTTATAACAAATAAACATTATTTATTTATTATTATTTATTATTCAGTGGCATTTATGAATCAATGTAGATCTCTAACATAATCTATGCAACTATATAGCCATTTGACGTTGTGAGAGGCTCTCGCTACTGGGGGTAGGTCTTCCTACCACTCACTATACACCGCGCACCGCCCTGCATAGCTCAGTGCTTTGTTGAAATTTTAGCTTCTTACAAGTATGTCAATGATATTTTTATGTCAAGCTATGATGGCTGACGATGAATGATGGTCAATAACTGAATTTAAGAAAATAAATTACCATCCTGTTATTTGAAGGAATTCGGCTTTCAGGTATAGATCCATCCCCAGTCGCTTTGACATGTGGGCTTTCTGTGATAATAATAATAATTTTATCGTATTAGGAACACATTATTAATACACATAACACACATACATTGTGTTCATGAGATATGTTACTATCAATTAAGATCTAAATGTTTGGATGTCATAAAAAATTTGCAATTATTAGGTTAGCTTTTAAAGTTGCTACTAAGTATAATGTAAATATCTATGGGATATGTAGGGTCTGTTTCGCCACGCAATTAATTACTTACTTACTATCTGGTAGGTATTTACATATTTGGCATACATATTTAGTGAAACAGCCCCTTAATTTTTACATACATAAAGCATATTTAAATCAAATGAAATAGTTTAGTAAATGTATACCATGCATGGTGTCCTAACAACTTGACCGATGATGCGCCGTGATGCAGCTAAAATGCCGTCATAGTTTACTTTGCGTGGATTGTCCGGGTCACAGAATTCATCATATTCGGGATCCTAGAAATTTATCACTTTGGTTACTCATCCTATTCGGATAAGTTACATAGAACAGGATTCATAAATTAACGACCACTTTTTAATAATATCACAACAATTTAGCACAAGCTGACATAAAATGTGTCAAACTTTAGATAAATGTTAATAGGTACCAATGGCCACAAGTTGTAAGTATATGTAGGTATACCAGGTAGTGGCATTTTAAAACAACTTACATCTTTCGCGTTCGTCATTTTGAGGTACAACTTTTATTTCTGTAGAGTATATTTTAATATTTCGACTATTTCTTTTTATATGTTTGAATTTACTTATTGTTTTTTACATTTTTGTAACTAAAAAAATAGATGTTTAATTTTATTGTAAAAATGATAGATCGGCTGATGTTTAAATTTGACAATACTTTTTTTTTGTCTTTACTCACACAAATAAATAGATCACGTACAAAATAGGACGAATGATTAAAAATATTTGTTTCGTAGTTATTTATGGTAAGCAATAGCGATAGTAAAATCTCCATTTGCAGTGTGTGCGAATAGCCCTTTTTTTGTTAGGGGAAAATCAACAAATGACTTCTCCCGCCCAGGGAGGGAGTGTCAGACTCTTACTAACTAAAAACCTCCCCATTCCTTCTCTTACTCTGGGCCGAGGTCGCGGTGCCTCACTTTCCTTACTCCGCAACCCCGGCTGAACATCGGCTCTGTAGGGCCCCGTCTGTGGTGGTCTATTGGCTCTTTGAGACGCGCGCGGAACGCTCGTGTTTGGTTCCGGTCGGGCGGCGAGCTACCCTTACTCGCCGTCCGCAGACCCACGCTTACGGTGTGGCCGGAGATCATTTCTCGATCCCCGAAGCCCGGAATGTCGCCTACTACGGCGGCTGGAGGAGGATAGTACTGTACATACATTGAAACATTAAAATTCGTTCTTACCACTTTTTGATGTGTATTTTGTGTGAAATATTCGCTTTGAAAGTATATGCTCATCAGAACAATTTCAAATAGGAAATGTAATATCTAATTGGTGTTTCATTGTTTTATCAATTAAAATAACATTTCTGCCGAAAGAAACGGAAGTCAAATTGTAAAAGCGCACTACCACAATGAAATACATAGATTACCTTTTTGTCTTAGAATTGAGTTTACTAATAAATAAATAAAGTGAAGATAATCATAAGACGCAAATAGATTACTTTCTAGTTCGGCGCAACCACTTAAAGTATGTGATGGATTGCAAAGTGCTGCCAGGAGAAGACTTAGTCTCACAACACAGACTCCTGGTTATGACATCAGTGGTTCAAATACATTGTAGGAAAACCAAAGAGCGCCCGCCCCCTAGAATAAAATGGCACAGGCTAGAGAGGAATGACTGCGCGAAGAAGTTCAGAGAGCGGGTGGTGGATAGAATGATAGAGATAGGAGACATGAATGATCGAAGTATAAATGAAAGCTGGAATGAGATGGCTGAGTGTATAAGGCAAGCAGCGAGAGATATTTTGGGAGAGACGAAAGGAAAGGGCAGAATAGATAGAGATACATGGTGGTGGTCGACAGGAGTTCAGAATGTATTGAAAGAAAAGAAGAAAAATTCAAGGAATGGCAGTGCGTACAAACAGATAATGTTAGTTTGAAAGCTGAAAGAAAGAGTGAGTATGATGCTTTAAAGAAAAAAGCAAAGAAAGCCGTAGCAATAGCAAAAGCAAAAGCCCAGGACAAACTATATGATACATTAGACAGTCCTGCAGGCCAAAAAGAGCTGTACCGGCTCTCTAAAATGAGGGAAAGAAAGGCGAAGGATGTTTGCCAGGTAAGATGTGTAAGAGATGAAAGTGGAATGGTTTTATCGGATAATGACAAAATCAAAGAGAGGTGGAAAGAATATTTTGAAAGACTTATGAATGAGGAAAATAATTGGAGTGGGGTTTTAGAGAATAAACCAGTGAATGTGGGGTTATTGAGAATGGTTAGTATGGAGGAAGTCAGAGTAGCAGTGAACGGAATGAAAAATGGTAAAGCCATTGGCCCAGATGGAATACCAGTTGAGGTGTGGAAGTTATTAAGAGTAGATGGATGGGTGTGGTTGGCTTTGTTCTTCAATAAATTGTTGCAGGAAGAAACCATACCTGATGAATGGTGCAACAGTTCTTTGGTGCCCATCTTTAAAAACAAAGGTGATGTCCTTGAGTGCAACAATTATAGAGGAATAAAGCTAATGTCGCATACCATGAAAGTATGGGAGAAAGTTATTGAACGGCGGCTGAGAGAAGAGAGTGACATTTCACAGAACCAATTCGGTTTTATGCCTGGTCGTAGTACAACGGATGCCATATTTGCTATACGCCAGTTGTGCGAAAAATACAGAGGTGCACATAAAAACTTGCACATGGTATTCGTTGACCTCGAAAAGGCATACGACCGGGTACCTCGTGAGGTTCTGTGGTGGGCCCTTAAGGAGAAAGGTGTGCCTGGGAAGCATGTGCAGTTGATCCGATCAATGTATAGTCGCTGCAGTACACAAGTCCGGTCTGCAGCGGGCACCACTAGCAAGTTCAATGTGGCTGTCGGTTTACACCAAGGGTCGGCTCTTAGCCCTTACCTCTTCCTGATAATAATGGACGCTCTGACGTCGGACATTCAGGAAGAGGCTCCCTGGTGTATGCTGTTTGCCGATGATATTGTGCTGGTTGCCGAGAGTGCCCTAGAGGTCCAGAGCAGATTGGAGGTGTGGTGGCAAAGACTGGAGAGTGTTGGCCTAAAATTTAACAGAACTAAAACAGAGTACTTGTTCTGCGATTTTGGCGGTCTCTCTAGTTCTGTGCCCATAGCTCTCGCTGGAACGCCCATACCAACCTGTTCTGATTTTTGGTACCTTGGCTCGCTTATCCAAGGAAATGGTGAGATAGACCGAGACGTGGCACATCGGATCAACTCAGGATGGATGAAATGGCGACAGGTCACTGGAACAACTTGCGACCCACGGATGCCCCTCAGGTTGAAGGGTAAAATCTACAAGTCAGTGATAAGGCCTGTCCTACTGTATGGGTCAGAATGTTGGGCTCTGAAAAAGACGGATGAAAAGCGATTGCATGTAGCAGAGATGAGAATGCTGAGATGGATGTGTGGTGTGACGAGATTGGATAAAGTGAGAAATGAGTATATTAGAGGAAGTTTGAAAGTGGCGCCAGTGACTGAAAAGTTGAAAGGGAACCGTTTGTCTTGGTATGGCCATGTGAAAAGGAGGGATGAAAAGCATGTTACAAAAAAAGTCATGAGTATAAATGTGGATGGATGGAGAGGCAGGGGGAGACCAAAGAAAATATGGATGGATTGTGTGAGAAGTGATATGGAAGACAGAGGAGTTAGCGATAGCGTGACGAGTGACAGGACAGAATGGAAGAAAAAAACATATTGCGCCGACCCCAAATAAAACGGGACAAGGGCAGGAAGATGATGATGAAATAAAGTGAAGATACCCTAAACAGAAAAGTCCGTTCATTGCTGGCTGAGCATCGTATGCATCACCCACGATCATCGGTAATGAGAATGTACATTCCACGGAAATGTGGAATAAGAGGCTTTTTAAATGCCAAAGCCTGCAGCTGAGCAAAGTGCAGTCTCTGAAACTACTTCTCAAAAAATAAAGTGGAGATACACCAAGATGTTGTCGCTGTGGACAAAGGAGTTAATGCGCTCTCCTAATTAACAAGAATTGGAAAAAACTTATAGTACAAAGGATCGCAAGGATGTGTGGCTAAAGAGCTGTACTGACGGCCAGAGGTAGACTTCTTAGCGTCCGCATCCTGGCAACTTATTTGGTGAAGCAGATGATTTTGTCTGTGAAATTATGGACGAAGTTATGCTGACGAAGAATTACCGAAAATATAAAGGATGGTACAACTGACAATTGTTGGCCATGTCATCGCCCCGGGGAATCTATCCGACATATACACTCGGGTTGTTCTCATCTTGCCAATGGAGAGTTTGCATAGACACGACCTCGTGGCCAGGATTATTCCCCAGTAACTTGCTTTAAAATACAAACTTGTTGAATCTGAAGTGCCGTATAAGTACTACAAGTATCGGCCTGACCCAGTTTTCGAAAATGGAGATGCCACACTGTACCTTTTGGGATCGAACTATCATCACTGATAAGACAATTGTAGCCAACAAACCTGAAATTGTGATGATAGATCGACCAAACCGTCGCACAATGATAATTGACATAACAATCCCACATGACGAGAATCATATTCATGAGATTTTCGCAATGTGGTATATAGACTCAGCAATAATTGTGTCGATTGTCGTGGTCGTCGCCTAAGTAGACCTACATTAGGTGGTTGGGTAAAGAATCTGATGCAGAAAGCGGTACTTATACTTTATACACGGCGAGCATATTTTGGAGATTCTTTTCTCTAGGGCCCTGACCACGGGTTGCTTGGAACCCTCTTGATACAAGTAGGATAGGTAGGTACTGTTTTTTATATGTTTAAGTGTATTTTTTTTAATATTTTAAAAGGCTGTTCTATCAATACTTATTTTAATTTATAGGTAAACAAATAAAATACTTTTATTACTTTATTAATAATGTCATCAAAATATAATTGTATCCTATCACAGATTCATAAAATACCTTACATAACTAAGGCCTGTGTAAACGGCCATGGAAACATACTGCCTACTGATACGCCACGAGATGACAAGGTACAACTTTTATAGGTCCGTGCTTTGATTACACGAGTTATCGAGCAATAAAATTAAATTATACCGCGTCAGTACGTATGATATCGTGGCGTTTCGATGATATGTTTCTAATTAATTTGCTGTCACTATGTTCATTACTTTACAATAAACACTGTTGTATTAAAAACAGGGAAAAGTGTAGAAAACATTAAAGAATTGAAGGAAAAAAATTTAGTCATTAAATAATGTACAACTTATTATCTTATCTACAATTACATATGAAACAGTAGGTACCTACACGTGCAGTTTTAAACATCATAGACTCAAGTCAATCAAACATGGAAACTGCTCAACCGATTTTGGTGACACTTAGTAAGTACTTATATTATATACATACTCAATATATTATGACGATGTAAAAAAGATTAACGAACAATTACGAAAATGATTTTGTAGAGACATAGAGAGAAGTAAAATTTTATGATTCCATGACATCTGGTAGTTCCCAACTAGTCAAATCAAAGCAATTATTTATTAAAATTTCCTGAAATAGTGCATTTTATAAAAAAAATACTAAGAAAGATCTAAAATTATGATTTTATCAATGATCAACCAATGAAAGTATTCAAAATTCAAAAGTGACATTAAGTTATATTTGCCCTAGGAAACCACCCAATTCATGTTTTTTTACAAAAAAGTTTGTGCAAGCGTGTCGCGTACCTAATAGCTCTTAATAACTCATTTTTATTTTCTTTCATATAAAAAAAAAATAGTTAATACTTATTATTACTTTTAGATAGAGTAAGGAACTGTAAGCTTAAGACACTGCTGTCTTGAAAGTAGCTTTACTTTATAATCTCTTTAATTTTAATAACAGTAAAGTTTTTTTTTGAATTGGCGCCGTAATTTCAAGGCATGAAGAAAATATCCAGGATTTTTCCTTCACGTTTCAAAGCCACACGCAACTAAAACTAAGACGAACGTGCCACAATAAAATGTTCTGTTGTACAATATCAGTAAAGATGTTAAATAGATACATTTCTACAAGTATCTTATGTATCAAAGTGAATGCATTTCACTCTTATATTCAATGTCCATAAGTAAGACTTAATGAGAGACATCGTCGAGAGATTCTGTGCTGTTGCGGCGTGGATAAGCATCATATTCGCCCGCGAAGTCCCATTCCCTGTAAGTAGTCGCTATAACTCCGCGCAACTCCTCCAAGTGCTCGGGTCCACGTGTTTCACACACCACTTTCACCTTTAACAACATAAAAATACGTACTATTAAGGTTTCAATTACTATAGGTAAACCAGAAAGAACAGTTTACAATATTTGCTACTGCTCTGCTCTGCATTTATTCAACAAAAAAGTACTGCTAAATTGTGTAGCAGTTTAAAAAGAGCAACAATTTCCAGACTATTTCGTCTATTAGCAAGCCAAAAGATTTTCAACCTTATAATTTTGCAATTAAGATAACAATCTATTATCAGCTTTGATATTATTTACCCGCACGCTGAAGATATCGCCATGAACCCAGGCCCGTTCCTGTATGATGTCTTTGATCGAGACTCCGGTACAGGAGATGAGCTTGCAGAGCTCTGCGATGCCGCCGGGCCGGTCGCTGACCGTCACTTTGAACTTTACCAGACGTTGTTCTGCAGCCAGACCTCGCTCCAGACATCGGCCCAGGATCGTCGTGTCTATGTTACCTCCCGAGAGAATACATACAACCCTGAAACATCAAGATATAATACATAACAAGTAGCAGTTAATTTAATTGTTTCAAAATTTTTAATTTGTTTTAGCCAGACTGTCGGCAGATTGGTACTTCTACGATTTTTGTTGTTGTTTCTTCCCCTAAAACCATTTCCAGTTCTACAGTTTTGATTAACCTATCATCAATACTTATAGTCAGAATTTTAATTCGATTCCTGATTTGACATGACCTACTGTCATTTTGTGAAATAATGATACCACATTTAACAGTGTAGTGGTGAACACAAAAATCGGTGTAAACAATCAGTGAATCACTTTCAGGAAGGCATTCAAAAAATTACGGCTACCGAATGGTCTAAATGCGTATCCCATGTTGTCAAAGAAAAGGAAAAAATGAGTAAGCTAGATATGTTAATTGACAATGAAAATCAGTAGTCGAATTAAAATTCTGACTATAGGTACATAGCTCTAATGGCGATGCTTTGCCGCCTACTTTATGTGAGGCCCCAGGTTTATCGAGGACGGCCACGTTTCCTCTTCTCTTATCGAAGATTTGCTTGGAAATGAGATCTGGACTCCTTTGAAGTGTGTCCATCCATGCTAATCCATCCCTACTTGCTTCGTTGGATTTGGTGGTCTATGGAACTTATGCAGCAGTTCTTATAGTTCTCATACAGGTTTGAGATGAAAATGGTTTCGGACCAGTAAATTCCCAAAATGAGGCGTAAACTTTGGTACAACATAACATAACACATCCCAGGAAACTCAATGTAAATAAAAAAAGATTAGCAAACCACGATATGCAGATATTTATAGATGTGTACTAACTTTTTTCCGGTGAGTTCAGGCACCAGGCCCGCCATGATGGCAGCCACTCCCACTGCTCCTCCCCCCTCAACCACGTACTTCTCCTGCTCAATTAGTCGCAGAATGGCGCGAGCTATCCAATCCTCGTTTACTGTTATCTGCAGCAAACCAAATCGAAGAGTTGATTAAAAATATACATTTTTTTCTTTTCTTACTAGTGTTCACGAATAAAAAGTTGGTTGTAGAATCTGATGCTTTTTAAATTAATATATTTAATATAATTTGGATAAATAATAAGAAGATAATAAGAAAAAGTGTGGGAGAGCCAAGCTTCGGCACGAATGGGTCGGCTCGACCGGAGTGATACCACGGCCTCACAGAATACCGGCGTGAAACAACCCACACCGTTGTTTCGCCGTGTGAGTGAGGTTACCGGAGGCCCAATCCTTCCCCCTCCCCTATCCCTTCCCGATCCTTATATCCCCAACTCCTATCCCCAAAAGGCCGGCAACGGGCGGCGCCGATTGCTTACCATCAGGTAATCCGTCTGCTCGTTTGCCGACTAAATATATATGTATACATAGAATTGTCTGTTCATAGTCCAACAACTTATATTTATTTAATAGTTAGTCTCTTACTCTCTTTTTACATTGAAATACAGTTTGTGAGACTCGCATATCTTTAACTATCTTTAAGTAAAAAACATGAGCTGTTTCAAATTAAGAACGTTGGACGTAAAATCTATCGATAAAACTAAAAAGATATCAAAGTAGGTACCTATACGTTTTTGGAGTCAAGATCAATAGGAATGTTTAAAAAAAGTAATTTAAAAAAAAATCTTGTAACTGACTGACGTAGTAGGTACGTTTTAAAAACCGGCTAATGACGCAGACGCGCTTTAACAGTAGTACCTACACACAGACGGTTATTTCCTTATTAATTTATAAATATAAATATTCTTTGCTCAGTAATTTACGTAAACAGTGACGTCTGCGGACGTCGATTGATAAAAATATTTAACTGTGACCGAACTGACACACCCACTAGGCAAACAAAAACAAAGTTACCTATTGTTACCAATCATAGTTCGGTAGATTTACGAGAATGTAAAAGTCTGATCATTATCTGAAAGTATCTTTTAAAAGCTTTGTGTACCTAGTCAATAACTTCACAAATATATAGGTATCATGCCCAAAAAAAGGTATTATAACCGGTTAGCCAGTCATTTTCCTAACCAGTTTAGTATATTTTTTCATATAGTCAGTCAATATGTCTCTTGAGTAGATATTCTAAAAGTTGGCAACACCTTTGGCTTACTATCAAGTGCTTTATAGGTAGGCTTCTGTAAACAGTTGACCAACATTGCCCTCATTCATGCTTACCATTCTATCGACACAATCCTTGACGGTGGCAAAGGCATTGTACCCGACCGTAGGAACCGCCAGACCATCTGCCAGAGTGGACCTAATCTCCACCGAGACAGGCTCGTCGTGCTTCATCGCGTAGTCCATACTGGGACACTTCTCCGTCTCTGCACCCTGTGGGCAATATTATTCCTTTACTCATATAATACTAGCTACCACCCACGACTTCGACCGCATGGTATGTTGATAAAATCTTATGTGGTAATCCAGAGTATTATACCTATAATATACCTACTTAAACAATCTCACAAACTTTAAAATTTATAATATTAGTATGATGGTAGGATTATGGAACTAACAGATTAATAAAAAAAATTGATGATGCCGGTATGGTATGGCGTTGTTAGGACAGTAAGAAGCTATTAAACTCCTTGTGTAGCAAAGGATATTGGGTACGTATTTTCTGAAGAGTTCTAATTAATTTAGTTTTAAGCTTAGTACATCTGTCAAGTGAATTAAGACTCCTTGCCTACATTGTAATCTTGATGAACCAAAATCAGCACATTTCAGCACTTTTTAACATACATGTGTTCTTATTACAAACAAATAAATAACAATCTATGCGGAAAGTTGCGCAGTTGAAAGACGCTTGAATGTTTTCTTAACAAAAGAAGCGCATATTATAATGTTTGTAACATGAGTTCACATGAAAGATAACCTCCTTGCGTCATATTAAAAACGTTTATCTAGGCTTGAAGGTCGACGGTAAAATAAATGAAAGCTTCGTTATGTAATGATGAAAGTATTCTCCTTTCGGTACATATGTAGGTATAACTATAACAGGTAGCACGGACTAGCTACTCTCGCGTGGCTTCGCTCGCTGCTCGGCTCCTACAGAAGGTAGGGTGATGTTTATAGTCTAAAGCACTCAGGAACATTGTATCTATCTATCAGTGAAAGAATTTTCGAAATTCGACTAGCGGTTCCAAAGATTACCCTTACATACAAACATAAAATTTTATCTCTTCATAATATTAGTATAGATAAGTTCTTTGAAAGCATCTTTTAATCACTAAGCAGGGAATGGTGCTACTCAATAATTTCGCCAACGTCCACTAGCTCCCTCAGCCTTGTTTTATTCATTAGACAACACCTAAGTATATGGTTTTTTTTAAATGATGAGGTTTTATACGGTTGTCCCACTAATCCTCGCTTGCTTTAATTAGCTATACAGAATAAGCGTTAATTAACTGGGAAATTGTGTCCTGTGTGGCGGGTTCGATTCCTACATAGAAAAACACTGTGTGATCCACAAATTATTGTTCCGGGACTGAGTATTGTGTCTGTGAATTTATATGTTTTAGACGACAACACATGTCACATGAGAAGATCTAAGGTCTTCAACAAACCATAATTCTTTGCATTAAATAAAAGCGCGTATAGCCATTTTGGAGATAAATAAGTATGTAGGTAGGTATCTACAAAATGGTCCAAACATCTCCAAAATAGTTACAGCTGTTTTTATAATAGCGCCATTGTCTACGCTAGTTTGAACCAGCTAGTACTCGTACTACGAGTAGCAAAATGATAAAAGAATCCACTGATAATTATTTATTAATAACATTTATCGACTATGTTTTAGATAGGACACTAAATATTGTTCAGTTAACTAATGATCCGCCCCGGCTGCGCTCGGGTGCATTGGTGATACTAAATTTCTCCACTATTTAATGGATGTTATAATACCTAAAAAAATCCTCCCCTATCCTGTTCAATACTGATGCAGGTTTTTTTTAAATAGAGTGATTACTCTATTTAAAAAAACCTGCATCAAATTCCGTATGGTAGTATTAAAGATATAAGCATACACAAGGATATAGAGTGAGAATAATCGACTATGTTTTATACTATGTAGTGATAGAGATAACCTGCTCCCTCCTCTCCTTTCATATCCCCTTATAAATGAGTTGTAAGACTGGCAAACTCCGTATTAAGTTTATCTCGTGGTAAAGTTACTAAAATCTCGTCTATCCCATTCCCACATCATCATCATCATCATCAGCCTATAAGTGCCCACTGCTGAGCAAAGGCCTCTTCTCACACGGAGAGAGGTTTGAGCATTAATCACCACGCTTACTCAATGCGGGTTGGCGATTTCAAACTTATAATTAGAAATTATAAGTCCAGGTTTCCTCACGATGTTTACCTTCATCGTATGTCAGTGGCGTCTAAATCATAGAAAGTACATATAACTCGGAAAAAGTCACATTAGTAGGTAGGCCAGGTTTTGTCTCCAGGTTATGTCTCATGCATAAGGGTGTGGCAAACCCACACCCTCATGCATGAGAAGCGGGCTCCTTAACCTTCGGGCCACCACGATGATCCCATTCCCTCTCGATTTATCAAATAATTGTGCCACTCTAAAAATAGGTTATCAACTCGCTGTTATCAGGTAGCAAACTATTGATCGGAGATTCTGTTTTTCTAATAAAAGTAACGAGACGATCAGACTAATTACAAAATAAGTCAAAGTACTTATGTGATAAGGAAATGTATGTGTCAATGTTTGTTTATCTGAGACCTTTAGCATCGTTTTAAATAGGTTTAAATGAAATAAAACATGTCGAGACAATAACGTGTTACCTACACAGCACTGATATTCCGGCTTGGCAATAAACTGTGATTGCTGTCCCTACTCAAGTAATAGGTATACATACTTATTAGTATTCGAACAATGTTAATAGTAACAGTAAGTGTTTATTTAATACTTTAATTAAAAAAAAAAATTTAAGCGCTTCTGTGAGCTTTAATGGTTTTGAGTTGTGTGTTTGGACTTTTGGAGCAATTATTAAAAATAAACTTGATTAATGACACATTTTCCAGATCGGCATGAGGAAGAGATTATTAGGTATAGTAACGATTGTGAGACATACTAAAATGAAAATAACGACCTACTCACGTGAATTGGGTAGTTTCCTAGGTCGAAAATAAATTAATTCGACGTTTTAATACGAAAAAATATTGAAAAATAACTATACTTTTATTCATCGATCGATCGATACACTAAGTTTTAGATATTTTTTAGCTAATTTCTAAAAAATAAGTACGCTATTTGACGCAAAGACGCAAAAATGCTATGACGTCATAATCAATGACGTATTAGTTTTATACATCATTGGTCATAATTCAATGTTTCATATACAATTTTCATAGAAAAGTATCGTTTTTGACATTTGGATAAAAGTATTGAATTTAACTAGTTGGAAATAACCGTATTAACTGAGAAAAGCTCTACTAGTTTCAAATACCAACGGGACCATTATGTGTCGTCGCCGCGGCTATGCCGCTGCCTTTTTTACGTTCGTAAGAGTCAAGACTCAATTCATAGATATATTACATTTAATAACTGAACTGTGTTTTATTTTTTAACTGACTATAAGTAACTCATTTTTCTTTACTGCATATGGAATTCTCTTTGGTATTCACTACAAGATTCTTTGTTTTCCTATTAAATTAGAAGTAAGATATACCTAATTGCGGGTACCTACTTCGATAGTTTGTGCAGCAGTGCTATTCTGCAAAATAATGGTGAATCTCATCTCGAAAGTCACATACCACTTCGCTTCTCATCTCGCCTGTACACAAACGTCAAAATACTCACTTGTTTTCGTTCCTTTTACTTCGTTATTCACATGGTGGCTTTGAGAATACGAAACTTTATATATATAAACAGGATTTCACCGCGGATTCAGAAGTAATTTCGCAAATTATTAACTTTTAAAAATAGCATAGATGAAGTGGCTACGGAAAAAAGGCTGACGAAACACACACTAATTAGTCGTAGTTGTCTTTATGTCGTTTATCAAATCACCCGAGTTTTATTTTTTATCCACCATAATGATAAAAAGGTGACCTCTAGATATTTCGCCTCGGACACTGATCTTTGTGGTGACTCGTGCTACAACTCATAAGTACTTTATTTATTACCTAAAGCTACAAGCATTACACAATGTTTCAACAGTTATTTCCAAAGGCTTTAGTTTATGGTTCAATTTTGGGTAATTATTAGGGCCACATATCATTAGGGCCACGAGTCCGTGGAGAACTTTAACAGAAATTTAAACAAAAAAAAACTGCTTAGAAATAGTCTCCTTCATAAATGGAGTCAAAATAAGCGTTAATTGATTGCAAAGCAGATTGGTGATTTTAAGTTATAGACATCTAGAGTATATGCATAAATAAGAAATGCCCTTAATGTTCTGTAGCTGGCAAATATATATTAAATCGACGCTGAAAGATAGACAAAAAGAAGAAAGATAGACAATCGGTTGCCTCTTTTTCTCTAACTAATAATGTTCCAGAGAAAGAGACAACATGGTGCTTTTTCATTCTTGGCAACATGTTTACGTAATCGCCACAGTGCCTACGTGTGGATCGAAGACTTTATGTACTAATGTAAGTAAATAGGTAAACCTATTTCATTTCAGTGGCTGATTGTATTGGTCATTCTTAGATATACACACAATTGAATAATTGATCACGTTATGAGCTCGCTCTTTCCTAGATATCCATAGATACCATTCATATAAACAGATATAAGTACCACACAGTCTAGATAACCTTTTGCATCAAGTGCAACCGGAATCTACCTAGTAACAGCAAACGTTTTCTAATAATTAAATAAAAGGAGAAATAATCCTTTTTCATTAAAAGAAATTGGTTACCTACACTGTTTCATATTATGAACTAAGCACAGGTACTGAGTACATTTTGTTCTTTTCATAAAAATAACACAACTTTGTGTTGAATGGTCGCAGCAAAAAGTAACTTGTTATTTTATCTTCTCGACTTTTAATTTTGTTTATTTTATTTTATGATATTCAACTACAAGGTAATCAAAGTTATTGTTCCGTATAAATATTCATCTGGTTACTGGAACACTAATTTCTTCTATAATATTTAGCACCAAAGCACTCATTAAGACATCCTATATATGTAGTTAGTCTTATGTCGTTTGATTACGGGTTTCACATGGTCAATTTTAGCTTAATCATAAAGTGGAAAATGGAACAAATTTAAAGGAATGTGCCTTATTATTGGAGGCCTTACCATTAATTATTAATGTAAGTAAGTCCGCTTTAAGAAGTGATTCCTGCCAAAATATTCTCCCCGTTCTAATTTTAGTTTAGGTTAGTAGGTAGTCATTGTTTTTCGTAACTAATTATAAAATCACAAACATTAATAGGTATATTATGGATCACGTCATCAGTAAATTGATAACGTCAAACACAATACGAACCCGTGTACGGCCACAGGCCACGCCTATTGATCGTAAATATTCGTAAACAGCTGTCTGGGTCGCGTCTGTCCGTGACATCTGACCGCTTCAAAGATCTCACGACAGACGAAAAACGGAAGGAAGTCAATTAAATTCATATTTGATCAGTTTTAATGCAGGAACCCGGAGCTTTATGAGAGAAAAATACCTACCCACTTTACAACAGTTAAATCCTAACAAATGAATGAGAAAAAATAGCATCACTTATACACCTGAATATTTCAATAATTATATGCCTAACACAAGAATTTGCCTGATTGAATTCTTTCCGATACAATCAAAGAGGTTCCCAAATAAGTTTTTTCTTATTTTTGTATAGCAACTATCGTCACATCAAATAAATTCAGTGGAATCGGCTGAACGACGCCACGACGCTGAATGCTGCTCATGAATAAAAATGCCATTGTGACTTGAAACTAGTACTTAGTGCTTTTCTGAGTTATGACACGTAAGTTGTTTTTTATTTTGTTACTAGAGCCTGTTGTTAATTTTCATGTTAAAGAGCGTTTTCTAAAATTTGTTGCTTCTGAATTTTGTTTCTACATAAGCCGTCTTCTACAAATTAATGATTATCCAATATGAACTTAAAGTTTTCAAGCTCAAATGCTCATGCTGTTATTTTGAATTTGGCACTTGTGACTTTTTGGTTTCATAGGCGTTCATGGTTGGCGCTGTACCGCTTACCATCGGCCTCACAGAATAACTTTCGTTCTTACACCGTGGTCGGCTTTCAGAAGATCCCTAATTTTTGGCCTTCTTGAAAGACTCATAGTTGAACTAAGGTACCCACGATTTCTTGCCACCTACTTATTCAATAAAATACTTAAAAGACTTACATAAATAAGAACGTGTGGCTTCAGATGCTTGATAGCAGTGGCGACGCCAGCCAGTAGCCCCCCTCCTCCCACGGGCACTATCACCGCGTCCACATCAGGCACCTGTTCTATGATTTCCAGACCGACCGTGCCTTGTCCCGCCATTATATGCGGATGGTCATAGCTACACAAATAAAGAGATAAAACATTAGTAATTAATTTCTGGTTTTAAAAGTAATGAGTAGCAAATAGAGGTAATGGGAAAGTGATTGTTTGTTGACAAATATGTGATTAAGTTTGTTTATATTTGTTTGTGTAAGTATTGATTCAGCCATTTACGTCTAAACAAACACACCCCTTTTGTGCCCAGCAGTGAACTATCAGGGGCTGTTCATGATGATGCGTAGATAAGCAAGCTGAACACATTTTGGTACAGATACAGAAATGATATGATAGATAGGTAATGAGGGGCCACATATTTTTTGCATAGAGCAACAAACGAGCATATTAGGTATGTGCCATTTGATAGTAAACAATCGGCGCTGCCAATGTTGCTGTTGATGGTGATCTTGAGTGAAGGGAAATAGATATGTGGTAATGAGTAGTAAGACAAAAGCCTGAAACATAAATAGTAGGTACTTAAACGTATCTGTACCTTCCACCAATGTATCTACCTACCAAATTATAAAGTAACTGAGGAATGTTTTATTCCCTCCAATTAGTGATCAAACAAGTTAGGTAAGCATAAGAACTAGTATTAAAAATTGCCCTGTTTCTGAAGCAACCGCAATAAGTTACGCAAGGAAATCACGTTAAAATTACTAAAATACATACCCATTAATATAGATCAGAGATTTTTCTTTAGCCAAAGTCATAGCATGATATTTAGCCTCCTTCATGTCATGTCCATGGATAATGACGTTGGCGCCATAAGACCGACATTTTTCTATCTTCATGATCGGAGCCACGTTGGGCATCACGACAGTTGCAGGGATGTTCAAGTTGTTGGCATGGTAACTCAAGGCCTGGGAGTGGTTACCAAGTGATGCGGAAATCACACCACGACTCTTATTCTCCTTTGATAACAAAAGGAGGGCATTTCGTGCCCCACGTTCCTTGAAACTGTAGATAAAAATGTTGTTTGTTTACAGCATAAGTATACGGCTAGGGTGTGTGTAGCTATGGAAAAGATAAGCCGAAGTTCAGATGAAGAAGAGGATATGAAGACGAGTTCACATATGAACAGTCGCGCGTCCACAGTGAACTCATCGTTGTAAATACTGTGGCGCGTCGTTAGAAGTCATTTTATTCACGAGGTGTCTAATTTGAATCCGAGAAAAGTGAGATTAAATATATTCCAATTCAAGATAGGTACTAATCAGACAAGCAGTTTCAAATCGTATACAGACCAGAGTTTAACGATGGACATGGCGTTTATTTAATATTTATACTATACGAATTATAGGTTAGTTTTTGATAATACATACCTCCCAGTGTGTTGAAGAAAATCGTTTTTCAGGTAAATTTCCATTCCAAATGTATTAGACATATGGGATTTCTAAAAATAATACACTTAGTCACTTTATATACATTTAAATTAAATGCAGATCAGAAACGGCGTCACGTATTTTGAAAAGAACATAACACACACCTTTCCTTTTACATAAAGAGAAAATGGTAAGGGGTAAAACATAATAAGAATACTTGGTAAGTAGGTAGCTTTTAGCTTATCTTCAAATTGGAAGAAAAATTTACGATGAAATAATTATCTCTATTTTCTATTAATAGATACCTAATACTGCTAGCTAAGGGTTAACCTTAAGATTATTTTTGTGGTCGGATTCGATCCTTAACCCAATAGGTATTTAACATTTTTATGTAGGTACAGGTTGCTACTCACCACGCATGGCGTTTTTACAATTTGGCTCTGGATCCTATAAGCAGCTGCAGATACATCTTCAAACGAAATTTTCTGTGGTTTCTCCTTATCGCACATCGGATCATACTCTACTGTCTGGAACACCATTGTTGCTTAATTTTCGACAATAACACTAAACATAATTAAAATTAATGACCCGATAGGCCTCGATTCCCCTTGGCTCCCTCCGGAGGAATGATTATTTCAAAGCGTTATCGCGTATAAGCACTAATTATTATAAGACAAGGGTTAAAGGTGAAACTATGTTCGCGATGGAATATGCCTGATCTATCAACGTATTAGGCCAGTAGGTATGCACCTATCAGTAATAAATAAGTAGGCACTTACTACGGGTTCACGCCTGTAACTCTCCATTTAGATAGGTGTCTTTATTATTTTTTATATTGATATTCACTAAAAACAATCACTTCGACCGACTACGGAGCGGCCCAGTAGAAAAATGAGTTGTTTGTTTAATTTTGGTCATGTTAGGAATTGATAACAGATTTCTGCAGTTTGAGATAGTTGCAAAATAATCATATATGTAATTTATTCTTTGTATTGCTTAAGGAGCTTTCTGTTAAATGTTACAAGTATTTTCTGGTCGATAAAATAAATATGTTGATACCTAGTTTTTTTTACAACTAAGGTAAAAGTCATGGATTCCTTAAATTTAGAGACAATCAATGAAAAGTGGCTTAACTTATCACAATTATATGTACATTTACAAAAACCAACTGGTAGGCAAAATTAAATTGCTGAAATACCACAGGGTATAGTAACAACATATTAATTTTTTCTTGATTTAAAACAAATAATAAAACGCTTTCACATTTTTTAATCTGTAGACGAGTCAGTCAAATTTGACACTTTGTTGACGCTTCCATCATAAATGTCAAGTTGAGATTGGCGTCGTGGGGTTATTTAGTTATTGTGTTGTCTAAAATTACAAGAATAAATCAGAACAGTGTTTTAATATAAAATTAGATTGTAACTTACTAACGATGCCTTACGCAAATCAGCCTTCAGTCCACATAACAGAACTGACAGACGACAATGTAAAGTTTGTTGTTGAAGACACCGAACTCAGCGTCGCTAACAGTATGAGACGTGTTTTTATAGCCGAAACACCGACGATGGCTATAGATTGGGTGCAACTGGAAGCTAATTCCACTGTACTCAGCGATGAATTCCTGGCTCACCGCATCGGCCTTATTCCGTTGATATCAGATGACGTCGTCGACAAAATTCGGTATTCCCGCGATTGTATGTGCGCAGATTTCTGTTCAGAGTGCAGCGTAGAATTTACCCTGGATGTAAAATGTACAGGTGATCAAACAAGACATGTTACTACTGCTGACTTAAAATCAAGTGACCCACGAGTGGTGCCGGTGACGTCACGACATAGGGACGAGGACCAGGCCGATTACGGCGAGACAGATGAAATCTTAATAATTAAGCTTCGTAAAGGGCAAGAGCTGAAACTGAGAGCATATGCGAAAAAAGGTTTTGGAAAGGAACATGCCAAATGGAATCCCACTGCGGGTGTGTCCTTTGAATATGATCCAGACAACATGATGAGGCATACTCTGTTCCCTAAACCAGATGAGTGGCCTAAAAGTGAACACACTGAGTTGGATGAGGACCAGTATGAAGCGGAGTTTAATTGGGAAGCTAAGCCAAACAAATTCTTTTACAATGTTGAGTCATCCGGAGCACTAAAACCAGAAAACATAGTACTGATGGGTATTGTTGTGTTGAAGAACAAATTGCTCAATTTACAAGTACAATTAGCACAAGAAGCCCAGATTGATGCATTAGCTATCAATTAAATTATTAGACTAGTATTAACTATGTAATAAATAAATTTCCTTTACATCAAGACATTGTTTTATTTACATGTGAGTGCTAAAGAAATGTAGGTATTCCCATCACTGCCGTATTTTTTATTGAACTTGTGTACAAGTTCAGGGAATGCTTACCTGTAAATTTAACTATAAATTTTTATCCTTCCAATGATTCCATTCATTCATCAGCTCACCTAAACAAAAGGTTTTTCATTGGAAGAAAAAACCCGTAGAGACTTGTTTCTAGCGTACATTTCTATGTTCTTCATCAATAAGTTAATTGTTATATCCAAGACTGGTAAGTACTGTTGTTTATAAATAATATCAAAGGCAATAATTACTGGTAATAGCATCGAGATCAATGAAAATAATTATTAATAACTATAATTTAAATCTACCTATATACATAATAGAAAGTTGTGTTAGTTACTCTATTTATAACTCAAGAATGGCTGTGAATCAAAGTGACTTAAAATAGGATGGAGGTAGCAAAGAAGCGGGAGAATGGCATACGGTAGGGTAGGTGGTCGTAGGTCCCCAAGGGGTAAGTATAACCTGAGTGTCTTCAAGGCTCAAGTGAATAGCTTGCCTAAGGGTGGGCGCGCAGGCGCGCTGCATCGTAGGAGACATAGTCGTTTAAGTTTATTACCACCAGGCGAGATGGTGAACCAACGCCGACCCATTGCCTATCTCCTGGAATAACAGCGTGATATCTGAGGTTCGAAAAGCTGGAAAAGTGTGATAGTTTTAATAGTGTTGTGGGAGTGATATTTCGACGTAACAACCAACAATACCTAGGTATTAAATTTGAATTGGAAAGTACCGTAACGGGATTCAAACTTCGTTACGTTCTTGATCGCGTAGTGTGGTTATCCTTGAGTATAGGTATCCGATACCATTAATTCAGAGTTATCATTTAAGTTAAATTTAAAAATATATAACCATCTCTAAGTCCCGAGTATGGCCTTATTTAGCTAGTCAAAGGTCCTACTAATATATCAGGCAAGATGGAAACACTCGATAGATAGAAGTAGATACGTACAAAATATGTTGTCAATTAGACATTTGTCCCATTTATTATTACCGCAACATAGAGAAAATAAACCAAACATATACAAAATGCAAAATTGAAAATATATACAGTGAAACGAATTGAAGATACAAATATCATTTTTTTATTGCAACAGATAATATTTATAACATTTTTACAATAGTGTTAGACCTGGTAGGTACTCTTAAAACATGTCGCAAGCTGTGGAAGCTGAACATGCGTCTCTGTCGTGGAATATCTTGGGCGATAGTTTTCCAAAACACTACGAATCTAGTAAGGTACGCATAGTCCGATTCATTCGACAAATAGTAGTGTTTTATATTATTTATTTTCTGATACTTTACATTTACGAAAGCATCAAACCTAGACCTCAGACCTAGACACAGATCAATATTTTTAAGTATCACAAAAAGAATTAATCCATAACGAATCGAACCTGCGACTGTTTCGAAGTAGCCACTGCGCCAACCTGGCAGTAAGTAGCTATGATAAGTCGTTTGTTAAGTAAGTAACTTTTTGCTATCAATTTATCTTCAGGAAATTGTCACCCAACCTAAAGAAGAAAGCATGAGTAAAATTAAATTGAAACTACAAGACATACAAGATGCACATAATAGAATTAAAAATGATGTGGTCTTCACACCAGTTATCGTAAGTGCTTTTATTGTAGATACTTTTATTAGAATAGGTATACTTAATTTTACTTTGAGTTTGAAATAGCCAATGTGCCTTGAGCAATCAAATTTCAAATTTATTTATTTGCAAACTAAGTGTATACATAGGTCTTATTGCTAGTGGCACTTAAAAACTTAGTAGCCTATAATGCTCAACCTTACTCCCTCTGAGAAGAAGCCTTTGTTTAGCAATGGGCTTATACTCTTATAGGCTGATAATTAATGTATGAAGATCATTTTAATATTTTAAGTGATATAGACAGACATTACAATAAAAGGCGTTGTAAAGTTGCACCTACTCACGATATTTCTATCAATTCACACAAACAGCTAATAAATAATAGCTAATAATTAAATTAAGTAATACATTATTTAATAATTAAAAATATTTTTAGGAAGCGAAACATATAGGAAGAAACTTTTGCAATGTTTTCTTAAAATGTGAAAACTTACAGAACACGGGAAGGTAAGTGATATACCTCCTGGGAAATAATTATCTACGCGAAAATTTTACGTTAAAATGATTGCTTTTGCATTATTTTCAACCATCCTTTTTATTTATAGTTTCAAAGCGCGCGGAGCCTGTAACGTTCTGTCCAGTATGTCACCTTCAGACAAGAGTAAGGGTTGCACCGTTTCAGGAGGGCGAAACTACCTTTCTGCTATGACATTCTATGGGTTCAGACAGTCAGTCCCTATCAATGTAATAGTCCCGAAAGATTGTCCTCTGGCCGACAAACATCGATACAAGGAGAACTTTGCTATTGTGAAGGTTCACGGCAGCGATCTCAACGATGCCAGCCTTCACGCACTCACTTATTGTGATGAAATCGGTTCCAGTTATATACACGGGTATATAAACTTTATATAAACTTTTACAATTATTTTGACAATGTAGATAGAATTTATTATTTTTTTTTGAATTCGTAGTGATTAAACTGCTCCTTTTCTGTAACAAGATAGATTTTTAACAGTTTTTTAAACGCAATTAGTATTATTTACACCTTTACCTACCTGGTAGCGAGACGGGGCCCTAAAGGGCTGATGTTCAGCCGGGGTTGCGGGGTAAGCGCAATGAGGCACCGCGACCTCGGCCCAGAGCAGGAGAAGGAACAGGGGGGTTTTTAGTCAGTAAGAGTCTGACACTCCCTCCCGCCCGGTTTGATGATTTTCCCCTCACAAAAAAAACCTACCTGGTAGCGGAGAGGTACGGCCTAGCGAAGAAGTATTCCGATTTTCAGTAACTTTATACCTATCATTAGTCACTTAGACTGATGAAGTGCTGTGCCCGCTTTTCTATAATTATGCATCAAAATACAAATTGAGTTTTAAACGTTCAGTTGTCGAGTCTTTGGACATTGTATAGTCCGTGTGCAGGTCAGACCGATTGGACTTAATTGCGGGCTATGGTACCCTGGGACTGGAACTGCTGACACAGATGGACAAGATGGACGCCATCCTGTGTCCTGTCGGCAGTGGCGGGCTTGTCGCAAGTCTCGTGTTGGCAGTCAAGAGCCTCAAACCTAACTGCCTTATATACGTATGATGAATTAATTTTATAACACTATTCTTTATCAAGCTTCATGTTCTCGAAAGAAAGAAAGGCCCAAGATTAACGAAGATGCCCTGTTTTCACCGATAATTTATGAGCGTCAGGAGCCTCTGGTTCTTTGGGTCTACATAAATCAGAACTTATCCCACCATACACCATGCACTACTACTTTTTTTATGGTATAAGTCGGCAAACGAGCAGACGGATTACCTGATGGTAAGCAATCGGCGCCGCCCATGCCCACCCGCAACACCAAAGGAGTTACGAGTGCGTTGCCGGCCTTTTGGGGAAGGGGGTTGCGTATATAAGGATTGGGAAGGGATAGGGGAAGGGTAGGGATTGGGCCTCCGGGGACCTCACTCACACGGCGAAACACAACGGTGTGGGTTGTTTCATGCCGGTATTCTGTGAGGCCGTGGTATCACTCCGGTCGAGCCGACCCATTCGTGCCGAAACTTGGCTCTCCCACACTTAACTTACTACTACTTACTACTGCTACTGAAAATCCAGAAATTGCTTTAATGATTAACAACCGGGTTGGCTTCATGTTTACTACCTATTTGATCGATCCGATCTTTAGAAACCACACTTTTTCTTTTTAAACCACTTTATTTGTAGGTAGGTACTTATAATCTGAAGCGTTTTAGGGCGTGGAATGTTCAGCTGCCCCCACTATGACTAAAGCTCTCCAAGAGAAAAAGCCAGTCATGATCCAGCAGCACCCGACCATCGCCGACAGTCTGTGCAGTGTCATCGCGAGCAACAACGCCTTTAACATTGTCAGGGGATACCTGGATAGAATGGTTAGTACAGAAACTTACATCAACTTCCTTTCTAATGACACTTCATGACAATCGTGGTAGTATATTAAGCTTTGATATTCAGAAATAGATCTCCAAAAAGCATCTGAAAAGGATCCGGCTCCGACTGCGTATATCCGGTGGCCGAATCCTATTAATGGGCAGTTACAATTTGAGACTATTAGTATAGACAATGGTTTTCATAAATTTTATTATGTCAAGTAAACATACTTAATTGAAGACAAATATTTTTAACCGACTTCAAAAAAAGGAGGAGGTTCTCAATTCGATAGTATTTTTTTTTTTTTTTTATTTTTTTTTTATGTTTGTTACCTCAGAACTCCGTCGTTTATGGACGGATTTGCAAAATTTTTTTTATGATTGAAAGGATATGCTTCCAGGTTGGTCCCATTCTTTTCAAAATCAAGTTTTGATGATGGGATCCATGAGAAATCGAGGGAACTCCTCAAATATTATAGGCAACTATATAGTAATTTTAATATTTTCATAGAGCACTCAAGCATTTACAGTCAAAAAGTAATGTTTGATGAGGTGGAACTGGTGAAGAAGATCAGAAATGGATGATGAAACTTGACACTCGCATAGATATCACAATCAAGGTAGTTCAGCAACTATGAAAATGCACTGTAAACCAATGATCTTAAATAATTATGTTGGAAATGTTATCATCGAACTGATTTAATGATGATTATGGAGCTGGAAGGTAGGCACTGGAACTGCGTACCTAATTAATATATCCTAGCCGTGTTTGGGCTTGTTAGAATTGTTATAAGATGCACTTTGGCTGTAAGGTACTATTGAACTGATGTGATGATGAAGCTGGAAGGTTGGCATGGGGCCTAGTATTGTGTAAGCTTATTAGAGCTGTCAAGAGCAATGGAAAGGGCTATGCTCATAGTTTCCGTGCATGTTCGAATCAGAAATGAAGAAATCCGCAGAAGAACCAGCGTCACCGACATAGCCCGAAGAAATGCCAAACTTAAGTGACAGTGGGCACGGCACATTGCTCGTAGAACAGATGGCCGATGGGGCCGAAAGGTTCTAGAGCGGGACCGCACACCTTTGGGGGCGGAGTTTGGCCTAGTATTGGCTATTTTGCATTAGTCCACGTGGACTGCGTTTACACATTAGTGGTGAAATGCGTCATTGTGTTCTTATCGTTTTCCTGGTAATAGGCTAAGAGAATTAATTGGCATTTTTAACAAAACAGTAGTTTTAAATGGGTTACAAAACAATAATTGCGTCGTACAAAACAATAATTGTGTTTCTTTTGTGTGCACATATGTAGATAATACTTACTTAAAAAAGGTTCATACATTGAATGAGTCATAAATGTATATTTACAATAGCGATGGTCTTTTATATTTTTACCAACTTGTCTATATATGAATGTTCTTAGTAATAACAAAATAGTATTCTTCATTTAATGGGTTACAATTGATACAAAACAATAATTGCATCGGTCTTTTTTCTATGTACGAATGTATTTAATCATAGATACTAAATTAGATTGCATTTGGTATCTTTGAACTTTATCTGTCTGTTGATGAAAATATCTAGTTTTTTGTTATTTGGCGAGAACTAATATGAATTTATGATAAGATTATTATTTTATTTTAACTATAAGTCATAAGTATCTCATGCATCATATCATCTCTCCTCGAGATCAAAACGATTACACAGTAACAATGTACTATGATATGTATTTCTACGTATAAGTATGACATTGGTAACTTTTTCAAAAGAAATGTAGGAACGATATTGACTTCTTTGCCATAACACATTATAATAAAAAAAAAAAAAACACTAAACGGCTACAAATAAAAAAAAATTTTACAAAATAAAAAAACCGCCTTCAAAAAAAGTCAAGCAATAAAAGTTCCTACACTAAAAAGTAAAAAATAACAATTTGAATTACTGTAAAAAAACTTAATTTATAGGTAAACTTATTTGACATTAATATTTTGCAAATATTCAAAATTTATTACTTATTTTTGGAGTCGGTGCCAGCCCATGCAAGGAAATACAAATGGGCAACAATCCCTTGAAAAACTACCTCTTACTTAATTATAAAACTACTTAATACCTATTTGCATACTCAAATAGGGGAAAGGAAGGCAAAGCGGACCACTTAACAAAAAACAACTATAAAAAAGAAACTATTCGGTTTTATTAAACTTCTTCAAAGTAATATTAATCAACATTCTTTACTCTACATTAGGTACGAATCAGACTTTGATAAAATCAAAGACAATGAGGATATTAGTTGATTTCTAATACCTTCAATATGTCCGTTTTACCTTCATGTGGTAGGCAAAATGGACCACACATGAAGGCAAAACGGACTTACATAAAATTAATCAGTTAGCACATTTTTCTAGTTACAAATGAGAACAGTACAGACACTCAGTGTCATCTTCCTCAGATGAACTATAATTGTTTTTAGTTTTTGACCTTTTTACATCAGATATCTTGCTAACTTTTCCTTTTTATGAAATTTTTCGTAAAGTTTTCTTGATTTTCTTTTTTCCTGTCTTACTTTTTGCTTCTCTTTTTGTAGGTTTCATGTCTTTCTGGAAAATAGGTGCTTTCTTGATCTTCTCAGCCTGTTTATTTTGAGAAGCTTCCACTTCAAGGCGGTAGGGTGATGACGTAATAATTGCTGTTTTACCTCGTTTGACTTTCTCGATTGCATTTTTCATGCTGGCTTCATCTCAGGAATTTCGATTGGATTTTCTTTTATTTTATTTACCATCTGTAACCAAATCAAAAAAATAAATGGAAACATTATTTTCTTCTATTTTTATTGCATTTAGCTTTATTAACATTCACATTACTTTATAGAAGGCAAAACGGTCCCAGTGAAGGCAAAATGGTACACCGGTCCGTTCTGCCTGGGTCCGTTTTGCCTTTTTGGTACTTACAAGAAAATCGAATAATTTAAAGGTTATAAATTTGAGAAACAGTTGGCTTACTTTGTTATTCGTTTAATCATATTTCAGTTTACATGTGGTTATCATAAGATCACCTTATTACAAATCTAATCAAACTGTAGGCTAATTGAAAAATGCAATTTTTACATCAAAATCTAAAAAAATCAACTTACCTTGCTAAATCGGTGTACGTGCGGCCGGTGGATCTGAGTACACTGACCGAAAGCGGCAACATGACATGACTTCCAATAATTTGACGTAACAATCAGATAGATGGCGTTACATGTTTCATTGTAATCAAGGTGGACCTTTTTGCCCACAGGGTCCGTTTTGCCTTCCTTTCCCCTATAGGTATATTAATTAAGACATAAATACAGATTAGACTTCTCTACAAAAAATGTCCGATTTGCACATTTTTTTAAATAAAAAATATGTACTTACAAAAACATTTTAAGTACATTGAAAATGTTTAAGCATTATGTACGAAAAATGGCACCGGATATTAAAAACCTAACTAACATTAAGTTTCAACATCAAAATGCTGGCACCGACTCCAATAATAAGTAATAAATTTTGAATATTTGCAAAATATTGTGACGGAAAAGTGGTTCAAACTCTTTGACATCATGACGTCAATGGATGGTTGTCAAACGTTGCCTAGAGATTGTAAATTTCGTCGTGAATTGTCAACACGAGTTGGTGTAATCGGTAAGGCATGTGGATTACACCACAGAGACCCCGAGTTCGAGTCCCGCCGTAAACATGAAGTTTTTTAGTTGATAGAAGTTTTGTCGAACTTTCTGGAATTATTTGTGTGAAAGAGATGAAAAATTAAAGAGCGAGAAGGAGAATAAATAAAAATGAATAACGAAATTATTGGAAGGTTCTGGAGGCATGACGATCAAAAAGAATAACGAAATTGAATGTTCCAGAACCTGACCGGGGGTATATAAGCGGAACTGCGGCTCACCGCTGGCAGTTGAGTTCTAAGTCCAAAGCGATTCGGAAGAAAAGGAAGAAGTGAAAAAGAAGAAAAGTGAGTAAAATAGTGCAGTGCAGTGAAATAGTGAAGTGCAGTGAGTTAAGTGAAAGTCAGCGTGAACAGTGAGCGGCAAACGGAAGTTTGTGTCAGTCGCCCGGACTCTGCTGGAGAGGAACGCCGATAACTTAACTCCGAGGGCGCTGTCATCTAAGTGCAATAGAAAGTCTAAAACCGGTATTAGTGTTTTATTTCATCCAATCCCGTAACCCAAGCCCGCATAGTCAGGAACGTGACGTCAGGCTCGTAACATTTGGTGTCAGAAGTGGGATTGGAGAAAAATGCCGCTAGTGCCGCAGGACGTAAGAGGAGTGAGTACCCGTGCAATGTCACAAGCGCAGCGAGTGAGGGAAGATGGTGCTGCAGCTCAAACCAGCGATGCAGAAGCCAAGCCTGTGCAGGTGGATCTTCTGCTACAGCTGCAGCAAATGATGGTAGAGCAAGCGCGCCGCCAAGAAGAACAACTACGGGAGCTGAAAGAAGATCAAGCTCGTCGCCAAGAGGAGCAAGCTCGTCGCCAAGAGGAGCAAGCACGCTGTCAGGCAGAACAGCTACGGGAGCAAGCACGCTGTCAGGCAGAACAGCTTCGGGAGCAAGCACGCTGTCAGGCGGAGCAGCTACGGGAGCTGAAAGAAGATCAAGCTCGTCGCCAAGAGGAGCAAGCGCGTCGCTTGGAAGACATGCATAAAGATTTCACGAAGGGACTGCAAAAGGCTGTCGAACGGGTACAAGAAGTGGAGGAAGGGTTAGGCAAGTTGGAACATCGCGTCATGGCGATAGAGGAGAGAGTGGAAGAAGAGATCGCCAAAATCAAGCAGGAAGTGACAAGCCCAAGCCCTTTGAAGAGCCGAAGCCGTCTTGCAGCCGTTTTTGACGCCCCACATGTGGCCTCAAGCGCAACGAAAGGGCTCAAGATTCCCCATTACGACGGAACAACATCCTGGACCGCGTTCAAGCTACAGTTTGAGACACTTATGGAGGCTTATGGTTGGACTCAGAAGGAAGCACAGTCAGCCCTCACCCTGGCCCTCCGTGATCAAGCGCTCTCAGTGCTGGAAGCTATCGGCGCAAGTGGGGATCTCAGCTTTAGTGCCCTCCTCGACGCACTTGAGGCACGTTTTGGAGACAGCCACCTCGAACACGTGTACAGAGCGCAATTAAAAGAGCGTACTCAGCGTGCTAATGAGAGTCTACAGCAATGGTCCGTGGAAATCGAAAAACTTGTGCGTCGAGCTTTCCGGTCGACTCCGTCAATGATTGAAGGCACGCTTCTCCAAGCATTCATTGACGGTGTTCGGGACCCCGAAGTACGAGCTGCTGTTCATCTGGGCCATCACAAGAACATGAAAGAAGCTCTGGCCCATGCATTGGAAGTGGAAGCCGTGCGTGGTAACTCCCGTACCTTACGTCTGCGGGAAATGACGACAACGGAGCAGGTACCTCCACGCCGTTGGAACTTCGTGTGCTATGGATGCGGAGAGCGTGGGCACATCCGGAGCAACTGCCCGAAGAAGGTGAACCGCCAGGACGCGGCGGTCTCAACTTCTGACCAGCAGGGAAACTAAATCCAGCCAGGGCTGCGGGGTGGGCGCTGGCCGGTAGTGAAATAACCCCAACAATCTACATCAAGCAAACTAACGATGGAAATACTCTGGTGATAGACGGTCAAGTAAATGGGAAAAACAGTCAGCTAACATTAGATACTGGAGCTTCAAGGACGGTGATAAATGTTCGGCTGCTCGGGCAAAACATCAGGAAACACGTTAAACCAATTGTTGGCCTACGAATGAAATCAGCTACCGGCCAGTGCATACCGATAAGTGGAAAACTGCATGTAACAATCAAAATTGGGGAACGTGTTTATCGACATGAGGTTATTGTGGCCAAAATTCTGGATGACTGCATCCTGGGACTTGACTTCCTGCAAGGGCACCAGTGTAACATCGACTTAAAATCTGGAGTATTACTATGTGGAACTGAGGAAATTCCGATGAAGGGTGGAACCCTGGGAAAAGTTTGCTGTTTAAGAAGAACTGTTCTTCAACCAAAATCACAGACTCTCGTACCAATCGCATTACCTAGAAGGAGGGAAGGAAGTTTACCTCGAAGGTGCGCTGTGATTGATAAATCGGAACACGTAAACTCATGGCTACCGGCAAGAACTGTCGTGGGGTCATCTGATGTCAACCGCATTCCGGTATTCAACTTCAGTGATTCAAAAATTACGATTGAAGAGGGAGAGCCTGTGGGCGTATTGGAAGAAGTGGCCTGGATAAGGAAATGCTCGGAAAATCTTGTGAAGAAGGACAGTACGGGAATAGACTTTGTAACGAAAATCTTAGACGAAAGCAAAAGTCTGACAAAAGTGGAGACTATGAAAGCTAGAAATTTACTTCTTCGATTCTCTGATGTGTTTTCAAGAAGCGATGGTGATATTGGCCGAACTGGTTTGGTGAAGCATAAAATAAACACAGGTGATACAATGCCAATTCGTCAAAGGCCCAGACGTATACCATTCGCTCGTGAGAAAGAGGTTGAACAAATGATTGACGATATGAGGAAAAATGACGTGATAGAGCCCTCTTCTAGCCCTTGGTGTTCACCTGTCGTGCTTGTCAAGAAGAAAGATGGTTCAACGAGGTTTTGTGTAGACTATTGACGATTGAATGATGTAACCAAGAAGGATAGCTACCCTTTACCAAGAATCGATGACACACTTGACACACTGAGTGGCATGAAATGGTTTTCAACGCTCGATCTGAAAAGCGGCTATTGGCAGGTGGATTTGGATCCCAAGGACAAGGAAAAGACCGCATTCTCAACTGGGAAGGGACTCTGGCAATTTAAGGTGATGCCATTCGGATTATGCAATGCACCGGCAACCTTTGAGCGTTTGATGGAACAGGTGCTGGCGGGACTACTGGGCGAAACCTGCCTAGTTTATCTCGATGACATCATCATTGTTGGACGGGATTTTGACGATCATATAAGGAAATTGGAAAAGGTACTCGACAAGCTGCGTGGAGCAAATTTAAAGTTGAGTCCAAAGAAATGCTCTTTCTTCAAGCGCGAAGTGAATTATCTAGGACATGTTATTTCTGAGAGAGGAATTGAGACTGATCCAGCCAAGACTGTCGCTGTTAAGGAATGGCCAACACCTAAAGACAAAACGCAAGTTCGGGCATTTCTTGGATTGTGCTCGTATTATCGGCGGTTTGTGAAAGGATTCTCGGACATTGCCAAGCCTTTGCATCGATTGACTGAGGAGAAACGTGCCTTTATCTGGGACGAGGATTGTGAGCAAGCCTTTCGAGAACTAAAAGAACGGCTTTGTAACACACCAATTCTCGGATACCCCAGCGCGAAAGGAATATTCGTAGTTGATACGGATGCCAGCAATATTGGAATAGGAGGCGTCCTTTCACAACGCGATGGTGAGCAGGAGAAGGTTATTGCTTACTTCAGCAAGTCACTATCCAAGCCGGAGAGGAATTATTGCGTGACCAGGAGGGAATTGCTGGCCGTAGTCAAAACTCTGCACCATTTCAAGAAGTATTTACTGGGACGGAAATTTTTGATCAGAACTGATCACGCTGCTTTGAAATGGCTGCTTCAGTTTAAGGATCCCGAAGGCCAAGTAGCCAGATGGTTGGAACAACTTCAGGAATTTGACTTTGAAATCGAACATCGCGGCGGAAGAATTCATGGCAACGCAGATGCATTATCGAGACGCCCATGCGTGGAAGATTGCAAGCATTGTGCCAAGAAGGAAACTGCTTTTCTTAAGGTGATAAGGACTGATACTGTTGACGAGGCATGGGGAGATGATGCGATGAAATTAGAACAGGAAAGAGATGCAGATATTAAACCAATACTGGAGTGGCTACGAAGTGGTAACAAGCCAAGTTGGAGTGACGTCGCCCAATATAGCGCGGTAACGAAAGGTTTATGGGCACAGTGGAAAAGCCTTACGCTGCATAACGGACTTCTGTGCAGGAAATGGGAATCAACAAACGGCAAGGACGAGCATTTGCAATTGGTGGTGCCTCGTTCAAAAATAAGGGATGTATTAAAAGCGTTCCATGATGGATCTTCTGGAGGACATTTGGGAATTAGGAGGACTTTGGTGAAGATCAAGGAGAGGTTTTATTGGTTGCATTGCAAATATGACGTCGAAGATTGGTGCCGGAAATGCACTAGTTGTGCAGCTGTCAAGGGTCCACAAACAAGAAGCAGAGGGGCGATGAAAATCTACAATGTTGGTATGCCTTGGGAGAGAATAGCCTTAGACATCGCTGGACCATTTCCAATCACTGATTCGGGCAATCGCTACGTTTTAGTGGTTATGGATTATTTTACAAAATGGCCGGAGGTCTTTGCCATACCGAACCAAGAGGCAGTAACTGTAGCCACGAAGTTGGTAAACGAGGTATTCACTCGATTCGGAGTGCCCTTGGAGATGCACAGTGATCAAGGACGGAACTTTGAATCCCAAGTTTTTCAGGAAACTTGTAAACTTTTGGGAATCCATAAGACTCGAACGACCCCTTATCATCCACAGTCAGATGGAATGGTCGAACGCTTCAACCAAACATTGGAGCGACACTTAGCAAAGGTGGTTGACAGCCATCAGAGAGATTGGGACACTTACATACCTCTCTTCTTGCTTGCCTATCGGACTGGTGTACATGAAAGTACCGCAAAGACGCCTGCATTTGCAAATTTTGGAAGGGAATTGAGATTACCGGCAGATCTTGTATCGGGCTGTCCACCTGGCGACTCTCGCACCGAGTTTAGCGATTACATAAGCGAGTTAAGGGCAAAAATGTTGGACATTTATGAGCAGATCAGGGAGGCCGGTCTTCAAGCTAGTGATCGCGCAAAGACGCGCTATGATCGACGAGCCAATTCTGTTGGGTTTGAAGAGGGGTCATTGGTCTGGCTTCATAATCCAGTCAGAAGGAAGGGAAAATCTCCGAAGCTGCAACCGAGTTGGGAAGGTCCTTATGAGATAGTCACGAAGATCAATGACATTACTTACAGAATTCGGAAGACTTCAAGGAGCCCTTTGAAAGTTGTCCATATAGACAGGTTGGCGAGGTATTACGGCAGCAACGATGCTCGGGACGAGCGAATCTAAGAGGGGGGCAGTGTGACGGAAAAGTGGTTCAAACTCTTTGACATCATGACGTCAATGGATGGTTGTCAAACGTTGCCTAGAGATTGTAAATTTCGTCGTGAATTGTCAACACGAGTTGGTGTAATCGGTAAGGCATGTGGATTACACCACAGAGACCCCGAGTTCGAGTCCCGCCGTAAACATGAAGTTTTTTAGTTGATAGAAGTTTTGTCGAACTTTCTGGAATTATTTGTGTGAAAGAGATGAAAAATTAAAGAGCGAGAAGGAGAATAAATAAAAATGAATAACGAAATTATTGGAAGGTTCTGGAGGCATGACGATCAAAAAGAATAACGAAATTGAATGTTCCAGAACCTGACCGGGGGTATATAAGCGGAACTGCGGCTCACCGCTGGCAGTTGAGTTCTAAGTCCAAAGCGATTCGGAAGAAAAGGAAGAAGTGAAAAAGAAGAAAAGTGAGTAAAATAGTGCAGTGCAGTGAAATAGTGAAGTGCAGTGAGTTAAGTGAAAGTCAGCGTGAACAGTGAGCGGCAAACGGAAGTTTGTGTCAGTCGCCCGGACTCTGCTGGAGAGGAACGCCGATAACTTAACTCCGAGGGCGCTGTCATCTAAGTGCAATAGAAAGTCTAAAACCGGTATTAGTGTTTTATTTCATCCAATCCCGTAACCCAAGCCCGCATAGTCAGGAACGTGACGTCAGGCTCGTAACAATATTAATGTCAAATAAGTTTACCTATAAATTAAGTTTTTTTACAGTAATTCAAATTGTTATTTTTTACTTTTTAGTGTAGGAACTTTTATTGCTTGACTTTTTTTGAAGGCGGTTTTTTTATTTTGTAAAATTTTTTTTTTGTAGATAACAGTAGATGAAGTGTGGATTTCGCGCGCGATGATCAATATATTGGAACGAGAGAAAATGGTGGTTGAGGGAGCGGCTGCCTGCCCAGTGGCTGCGGTAATGGCTGGTAAAGTTCCAGAGCTTCGTGGTAAAAAGTAAGAGTCTACAATCCAAATATATATACTTCTATTACATAGAAAAATCCTACCATTTCTATGAAACCAAATTTTAAATGGCTCAAAAAACTGGATGTGAAAACGACCCACTTTGTGTATAGGCATAACAGGGGAAGTTTAAATATAGTCAGTCACGACCAGATTGAACGTTCTTATGTTCCTCTTCTTTTTTGAAAACACTATCCAATTTTCATTAATTTTATAATTAACGTACTTAATTACGGCGTTTGTTTCAGTGTTGTATGCATTCTGTCGGGAGGTAACATTAACAGCAGTCGGATGTCCCGCGTCATTGATCGCGGTATGGCCGCTGAGGGCCGTCTTGTCAAGTTTAGTGTGGCTCTACCAGACGTGCCTGGCGCCATGGCTAAGCTACTGGCCAAAGTCACTGACAACGGTGCTGATGTTAAGAGCTTCGTGCCTGAACGCGCTTGGATGAGACGAGACATTTTTACTGTTTCTGTAAGTGTTTTCCTGACTACTGTTTTATCAATTTACTTATAACTTTATCGATGATATGATTATCATCGGCTCTTGCAACCAATTACTGGATTGTGGGTCCCTCATACATAATGCTTTTAAGCCTTATTAGTTACCAGTTTTATAAGAAAACCAAGGCGTTTGCACTATGCGAAATCCCTTTTGGATACTCTACTTAGCTACCAAACGGCTCGTCTATCACAATGTTATTTTTATTTCCATGACACCAGACTTCTCTTACACAGGTAAACATGTTGATTGAAACAAGTGACGTGCACCACGCCAAGGACTTGGAGAAGAAGCTGGTGAAGGACTACCCGCACTCACACTTCATTATGGTGTAGTTGAACCTGTTAGTTAATAGTAATGTACCCGCGTCTGTGAGTGTACCTACAAATATGGCAACATATCTTTGCAATAATGCTAAATTCTGATAAATGAGAATAAATGATTGTATCTTCAATTTGTATTTTTATTATTTTACTTAAAGAAAGAATATTTGCGTAACGATAAAATGATGAACGCTTTAAAACGCACGTTGAACGCTAAGGAAGAATGGAGGAGAGGACCATGATAGTATATGAACCATGCTAGCTGATAATTTGCCCACAACAATGTTGTCTATTGACAGTCATAACTATAAATTATAAACCTATTCACTTTACTTGATATTCTCAGGGCAACGAAAAGTAGGTACATATCTTTTTTTTTCTCCGTCGTTCCCTTATTACGTGTTGAGTCGATCGTCTCCACCACTCACTGTCAGTAATTCGGTGCAATGCTTCACCCACTGTGTTCGGATAACGAACATTTAAGCATTTAAGTAGGGGAGAGCCAAGCTTCGGCACGAATGGGTCGGCTCGACCGGAGTGATGCCACGGCCTCACAGAATACCGGCGTGAAGCAACCACAGCGTTGTGTTTCGCCGTGAGTGAGGTTACCGGAGGCCCAAATCCCGCCCCTTCCCCTATCCCTTCCCGATCTTTAAATCCGCAACCCCTATCCCCAAAAGGCCGGCAACGCATTCGTAACTCTTTTGGTGCTGCGGGTGTCCATGGGCGGCGCCGATTACTTACCATCAGGAAATACCTACGTCTGCTCGTTTATCGACGTATACCATAAAAAGACTGTTACGGAATTCGGCCTTTAATCTTCTGCCATGTGCTTTCACCATTACCATTGTCCACCGTCACGCTTGAGCCAACACCAGTTGGCCAGGGCATCACATTTTTCGGTAGGCAAATCGTGGTGGACCTACGCTGGGCAAGCACACAAGAAATAAATTTGGCAATCTGCGATATTTCCTATATATCCACCGACCGATACCTACCTGTAGTTTCGTGTATTGACGAGAGAGTTAAAATAAGTCTGTAAGGACAGGCCCGATACGAGTACTTTGTATTTAAACAAATTTGTACTAGTTTTATATAATATTCTCATCTCAAACCATAAAACAAACTACTATGTAAGTATCCTTTATACTCCTTATACTTAGTTTATATTCTATATGCTTTATGATGTACCTAATCTTCTTTCAGGAATTTGACACACACGCACTTAAGTCAATGTATAATGTCATATCATATCATACATACCTGAAAGCATGAGCAAATAACGATTTTATAGTTTAGTTAATAAGTTATAAATTCTAGTATACCTATAATCACTAAAGCGACGATATAAAAAATGGTAACTAAAAGAAATAACTATAAAGTACTATGTACAAATGTACAATGGGGTAAAAGATTCTAATCGAAGTTTGATTTCAGAATAATTTTAGCGGGTCTGAAGAACAACCACATGTTTTAACATTTAACGAAATCAAAAGAGCTGCTGAAAGAATCGAAGGAGGAATTATACATACTCCCCTCTGTGTTAGTATCTGACTTCTGAGAATATTACATAATTACATTCTGCATATAAAAATTAACTTCTAACGTTTCAGGAAGCAAAACTTAGTAAATATATGGACTACAACATCTATTTGAAATGCGAAAATTTACAATACACTGGCAGGTGAGAGCGCGTAGCCTGAAGTGGGCACGTACTTAGTAACTGGGAGCACCCACTAAATATAAGTCTGTGGGAGCACCACTCAGCTGGCTTGTTTCAATTGTTAGCTTGTACATATGGATGTAACAAGCACGTAGCTAGCACGGAACAGTAGCGACGTAGTGTAGCACGAATACGTAGGTACTCGTAGCAAGAACGTTGCGTTATCCTATCCTACGATACGTGTATAATTTTTACAGATCGATTAAACAAATTAAATGTAACTATTTTCTCATATTTACTATAGCTGCGCCGAGCGTGGTATTCGTAACGCTCTTTTAACGTACGGTAAAGACATTGGAGAACGCGGAGTTATTGTACCATCTCTTGGGAACATGGCATTGGGCTCTGCTTATCACGGTGGAACTCTAGGAATTCCGGTACGTTTACTTATTAATTTTATTTTTAAGAAAAACTTTACCCTCCGTTTGAATTTTTCTCTGTGTCGTGGGTGTGTTTAAAAACATACACAAAGCACTCAGACCCGAAACAAACAATTTGTTGATCACACAGTTTTATTCCGTGCGAGAGTCGAACCCGCGACACGTTGCATAGCATAGTAGACAGTTACCCAGCCACTACGCCAACCGTGAACTGCGCCAACTTAGGAATACAAAATTATTGTGCATTGCTAGGTATTTTCAAAGTTTAAGATAAAACTAATAGTGTTAGAACAGAAGCATCAACTCACGGACACAGATAAATAACTTTCCATGCATTTATTTAGGTAACAGTTGTGATGCCAGAGAAGACGGCTCCGGCTCACGCACAGCGCTGCTCAGAACTGGGAGCTGACGTGGTGCTGTGTGGAGAGAATCTCGACGACGCTATCAGTTACGCTAAGAAAGTCCACCAAGATGGTCACCAGATAATACTTGAGTAGGTATATATTTCAGTAAAATGTCCTCGCTATGTATAAGTACTTACCTATCCCACTACAACATTTGTTTCAAGATGGTACTACAACTAACTTTACTAACTCTCAACGCGGGTGTGTCCATTCATTCTTTGTGTGCAAATAATAGTACCGTGTGTGTGATAATAGATAGTCTCGCTAAGCTCTACAGCTTTCCCCAGTTATAACACGTCAGTACTTAAGTATTTTTTTCAAAAATTAATCAATTTTTTATAAAAAATAAAAAACAAGTCTTTGCTAACCTTCAAAGTTTCTCCATTAATAACAACACCAACTTTCATCGAACTCATCATGAAGTTCGTATGTTACAGTGCGGATGATCCTCACGTAATGGCAGGATTGGGCACAGTGGGCTTGGAGATCATCACACAGCTGCCTGAAGCTGATGCTGTAATCGTACCAGTGGGGGGCGGCAGTTTATTGGCCAGCGTACTAGTCGCCTGCAAGAAACTCAAGTGTTCCTGTCTTGTTTACGTAAGCTGTACTTAATATTATATCATTGCGCTTTTTATTCTGGACTGAGCACCGCCTAGCATCGGGGCAGTGAACGGAAGCGGCGACCTCACGTTCCCAGCTCTGGTTCAAGCAATGATGCGAGTTAAAACTAATTCCCCTCTTCTAATCTTTCTGCACTACAATATTGTTGATGGCTAAGTAACTTTGGTAAAGAAACTTTTTGTTCGCGGGGTGGGGGGAATTATACAATGACTTCTCCCGTCCTAGGTAGGGCAAGAGAGAGTGATACTTACTTACTCTTATCTACCTACTGATTAAAAACCAGCCCGATCCGGAGACTACTCTCTTGCCGCGCAAGGCCGTGGTACATAATTACGCTAGCACAAGGTTATGTATCTAATGGTCTGTTACAGGGAGCAGAATGTTCGAAAGTGCCAAAGATGATGAAGGCGCTGCAATCAGGGCGACCTGTCTCGGTGCCAGTAGTACCAAACTTAGCGGATGGACTCAACACCTCCAGTGTTGGGTCTAACGCATTCGCAACTATTAAAAACAGACTTGATAGAATGGTAACCTTATTTTTTCCTCACTTGCTTAGTGTTGTTAGGAAAAAGGAAGGAAGGCACAGTGCAAACTAAATGGAATAAGTAACCATTATTCGCCAGTGATGATATAAGGTAGGGTGGGTGATTAACGCCCGCTGCGCATTTACGCCCAGATGGCAGAAAACATACTAAATATAAAAATATTCCGTTACTACTCCACGCACACTTAGAATGAACCAATAAGAAACCGCAAAACAAGCGGCGACGCGCTCACGCCATTATCCGCGGCAGTGTGACGCCGCGTTCCGGCAGGATCGGACATGTACCACGCTGTTATAAAAAGTACCGGAACGAAATTGTGAGTGGTTTTATGTGTTTTTTTGCGTTTTGGGTTAATTTTTAAGATTTAATTGCTTCAAGATAAACTTAGTTCACTATTGCCTGAATGTTTGGCGTAGATTTCTATGTTTTTTTCCATAAACGTGCCATTTGAATCAGCGTCCGATAATAACGCCCAGCTGGGTAATAACGCCCGTTAAAATAACGGTTGGGCGCTATTACACTACACGGGCGTTATAACCATAACCATAAATAGAGCATTTCTAATTTCAGAAACTACTAAAAAAATGAGTACCTATACATTGATATACTGAACATTAAATTAATTATCGACGCGATCAATATAACCTCAAATATTGTTTTCTTATACTTCATTGTTTATGCTTTAAGATATTTTTAATAAGATATATATTGTGTAAGGTTCCTAGTATTAATTACGTTATACAATACAAAAATCGACTATTTCAATAATCGATTTTTGTATCGATCTTTTGAAATAATAAAAATGAGCGGGAACGAGTGAACGAGTGAGGGGAGGGTTGTCTGTGGAACCGGGACGAGAGGGCGGGAAAAAAAGGGAGTGGATGGATATACGGTTTGGCGGCAAGAGATATAAGGGAGATTAGTCTTGTAACCTTAACATTAAAGGATTATTTTGTATTATACGACGAGTTTTATTACATTTCAGAAGTGGTATGTACCTACTCACATTTTATTATTTATTTAAGTAGATGTTTTTGTTATTGCCTGATTTTTATTATTAATTACCTTCACAAAGTGGTGTGAGGGACGAACATAATGGCTGATCATGGCCGTTATTTATCCTCATTTTCTTTGTTTCATGACAAAATAAATCGAGTAACGGTTTGGTGTAAGTTAAATTAATAATATTACAAATACAGATATTTGCTTAAAATACAGCTATTACAATTCAAAGATGTTTTGACACCGTCCATGAGCTATAGCAATCACACAAGCTTTTGTTTAGTCTCAGCTGTGGTATGTTTATCAGTAAATGTTGCTGATTAATTTAAATTACTTTCTGGTTTTAATTGATCTAAAGTTTTACATGCACGTCAATCGAATTACAGTCTAATATCCTTATAACAAGGATTTGATCTAACTGAAATCGGCGGCTGAATGATCGATGGCGATGATGATGAATGAGGACTAGTTTAATACGTTTTGACGTGTATTTTTGACGATAAATGTTCTTTGTGTTTGAGTCCCAGATAATGGAGCAAGACAGGCGAGGTACTAGCCGACACCGGCTCGAAACTCCTGAGCGCCTCCCGATGAGACGCGATGGCACCGCTGAGAGACGGAGTCGGAGTCGAAGCCGCTTGCGTAGCGGCACCCGTCCACCAAGACGGAGCCGGGCGCGCAGTGGGAGTCGCGGCATCACGCGCCAAAGTGCCCGCAGCCAGAGCATTCGCGAGAAGGAACGAGAGCTACGGCGGGAGTGGGACAAGATAAGGCGCCTCGAAGATGAAATTGATCGAGAACGCAGCCGTCTTCGATCCAGTTCGAGGACACGTCGCAGTTCGAGGCACCAGAGTTCTGTTCGCAATTCTGAGCAACGAGTAGAAGATCGGCGAGGCAACCGGGAGCAGTCTACTGCTAGGGATAATAAAAGGTCAGCAAGCCAAGCTTTCTCTGCTAACGACGTTATGAATATTTTAAAGTCTATTAAGTCAACCCAATCGCACACGGTGGCACTCAGTTCCCATAATCTTAACCACAAAAATATACTACCAGATTTTGATCCGTCATCGAAAAATCAAAGAGTTGATGTTTGGTTAAAAAAAGTTAATGAGTGTGCAACCGTCTACGGATGGGATGACAAAACGGTAATACATTTTGCAATGCAAAAATTGCAGGGATTGGCCAAAACCTGGTATGAGAGTCTGAACTCTATTCTGTTTAGCTGGTCCGAGTGGCAAGATAAACTAATCGCGGCGTTTCCCTATGAACAGAATTATGGCCAATCCCTGGAAGATATGTTACGGAGGAAGAGTAGGCCTAATGAGCCCATCGAAGTTTATTTTTATGAAAAGATAGCCTTGTTGAACCAGTGCGACATTGACGGCAAACGTGCGGTCGATTGTGTAATTCACGGGTTGAGCGATAAGACACTAAAAACCAGTGCTTTGGCATTACGTTGTTTGCATACAGATCAGCTCCTGCAATTCCTTATGAGCAACAAAGATTCTGGGCACTCGCAAGTGCTTTACGGTCGCGGAGATCTTAAAAATCGATTCGGACAGGACAGTAGAGCACCCGGTAGCGGGACTTCATATGATCGTACCAACACAGACATAAAGAAACCTAACTCAGTAGTCAATCCCGGTCTATTTTGCTATAATTGTAAAGAACGTGGTCATCCCTTCATGAAATGTCCCAAGCCTCTATTAAAATGCTTAAACTGCCAAAGATTTGGCCATAAAACTGAAAATTGTATTTCAAAATCTGATGGTAAAAAAGAGGCCATGCCTAAAACCATGCTTATATCGGCTTCAAAGGCTAGTTCAAAGTACATGAAGGACGTTACAATTAACGGGTTGCGGTTTAAAGCCTTTATCGATTTTGGTAGCGACGTTTCGCTGCTAGCAAAATCAACCGTGGTGCTCCTAGGACTTGTGTACGATTGCAGGTTGCAACCATTGAAGGGTTTTGGGAATGAAATAGTGAATTCGTATGGCACCGTGATCGCCAAGCTGGCTATTGACGGAGTCAGGGCTGAGGTCCAATTTTATGTAGTAGATGACAAATACTTAGACACTCCTGTGTTAGTCGGTCAGACATTTACGGAACAGCCGCATGTAGTTGTATATAAAAACTCAGAACAACTGAAGTTCTCTAATTTCGATTTCCTAATGCCGTTCAGTGATGGTAACCTTGGGAATACTCAAGACCTCACGGTTACAGTATTGTCCGCAATAGACCTTTACGGCCCGGCTACAATAACCGCTGTAACGAAGCCACAACTTAATGGTGACATTATTATAAGTAGCAAAATAGTAGGAAAGCCAACGAACCAATATTACATTTATGGCGGCGTTTACCGTGTAACAAGTGGTGTGGTCAAAATTAGTATTGCACCCATCGCTGACAGTATAGCACATTTAACAGCGGGGGCTACCCTATGTCGCGCCACAAAAGTTCGTTTAGTAAATCGTATCTTATCTCATAATTTTGAAGATTTTGCTATTGATTCTCAAAATTTTGATGACGAATTAGTCCGAATGGGTGAAGGTGTTACCGAAGGTGACAAACGGAAGTTGATGGATATTTTGCACAGATATAAACATTGTTTTGCTTCATCCTTAAAAAGCTTGGGATGTACAAATGTTACGGAGATGACAATAGAAACAACAAGTAGACAACCCATTGTTTATCGTCCATATCGCTTGTCACACAAAGAACGCGAGCAGGTTCGCGAGATGGTAGGAGAAATGCTAGACGCTGGCATTGTTAGGGAATCGGTGTCAGAGTATGCGAGCCCCGTCATTCTAGTGAAAAAGAAAGATGGAAAGATGCGGATGTGTATTGACTATAGATTGCTTAATGCGATTACGGTAAAAGAAAGGTATCCGATGCCAATAATCGAGGATGAAATCGCTCGACTATCTGGTCAGGCTTATTTCATCACACTTGACTTGGCATCCGGGTACTATCAAGTACCAATTTCCGAAGCATCAAAAGCACTGACGGCGTTTGTAACGCCGGACGGTCATTATGAGTTCAATCGTATGCCGTTCGGCCTTGCAAACGCCCCCGCCGTTTTTCAGCGTATGATGCATAAGGTATTGGGATCAGCACGATACACCGAAGCAACTGCATACATTGATGACGTTCTAATCTATGGTAGAGATAAAGAGGAATGTTTGAACCGGTTCGAAAATATCTTAAAACTAATCGAAAAGGCCAATTTAACTTTAAACCTGTCCAAGTGCGAATTTCTAACTGATAGAGTGCATTATCTCGGTTACGAAATTAGTGCCGCAGGAATCAGACCTGGGGATAAGAAAGTTAGTTGCGTTATTGATTTTCCTCGGCCGTCCAACCAGCATACTGTCAGGCAATTTTTAGGGCTCGTCGGTTATTTTCGCAAATTTATAAGGAATTTTGCACAAGTGGCCCATCCCCTAAATAAATTATTGCGGAAGGATGCTCCTTGGTGTTGGGCGGACGAACAGGAAGAATCATTTAAGGATTTGAAAGATAGGCTGACGAAACGGCCCATATTGGCTATATATGATCCAAAGGCCGAGACCGAACTCCACACAGACGCTAGCAAAATTGGTATTGGAGGCATTCTGCTGCAAAAACCACCAAACAGCGATACATACCGACCCGTTGCGTTCTATAGCCGTCAGACCACACCAGAAGAAAAACATTTCCATGCTTACGAGCTCGAAACTTTGGCAGTGGTCTGTTCTTTAAAGAAATTCCGCGTTTACCTTCTCGGTCAAAATTTTAGGATTATTACTGACTGCAGCGCGTTGCGCAGCACTTTTATGAAACGCGACATAATTCCGCGAGTGGCTAGGTGGTGGTTGTTGCTGCAGGAATTCCAATGCTCCATAGAATACAGAGCTGGCGTTAGGATGTCACATGTGGATGCACTATCTCGTAATCCGGTTTCAGATAGTGAAACTATCGATGCGTTGAGCCAGTATCCA